AGAACCTAGATAACAAAAAAATCCCATGTATTCTCGAATTAGATGATCATTGAAGCTAAACAAAGATTTATATAAAATAATTAAGGCCCGAAATAGATTCTAGATGTAGAATTTACATTAAGTCTAGATCTAGAATTTACATTGAGTCTAGTGACCTAGATCTAGAATCTAGACCTAGGCCCTAGGCTAGATTCTAGATTCATAACTTTCCTTCGACAGCTGAATTTTAGATCTAGAGAAATTTATTGTAAAACTAAATGAAAAAAGACAGTTGAAAATTGATATAAGTGTTGGAACGTAATAAATACAGCAAACGGACGTATTGTTAAAGTTAAAGCCGACAGAAAATTAGCTTTAGAACGCGTTAAACATTGGAATGGGAACACAATCTTCTTCGATAGGCCGCCATTATCGATGTAAAAAAATAAACACATCATGTGACGTCACTGTTTCCGTCGAGTCTAGTGGCTTTTCAAATCTTTTTTAAAAAAATGGGTTAATCTGCATATGAATAAATCAATTAATTAATTAACGTCTTTAAATAAATTTGTGATCAACAGTCTGTCTGCATTAAAAAATTATTCTCTACCTGCATACCATTTTACAGCTTTCCAGATAGAGTCGAACATATCACAATTTTCGATCAGGCAAACAAATAAATATTCAAACATGTAAACAAACTTGACTTTTAGTAGTATACTAGAATACCCGTCATCCGTTGGATAACTGTGGGTTTCGGGGGTCATCCATCAAAAAACATCACGTCTGTCACTCAGAGGCATAGCGACCCTTCCCGGCGCCCGGGGACAAAGTTTTCGATTTGAACCCCCCCCCCCCCCCCCCCCTCAAACTTTTGATGTGCACCCCCCCCCACTCAAACTTTCGATTTGAACCCCCCTCAACCTATCAATTTATTTTTCCAAACCATTTTGGCGCCCCAACATATGTCCCCCCCCCCTTCCCCCCTCCACCTCCCCACCCCCCTTCCCCCCCCCGCCTCCCCTCCCCACCCCCCGCCTCCCCTCCCCACCCCCCGCCTCCCCTCCCCACCCCCCGCCTCCCCTCCCCACCCCCCGCCTCCCCTCCCCACCCCCCGCCTCCCCTCCCCACCCCCCGCCTCCCCTCCCCTACCGTCCCCCCCCCCCCCTCCTCGGTACGCTACTGCAGTGTCACTTATCGTCACAAAAAACAGACCCCACATTCAAATATATGTTTTTTATCTTTTAAAAACACCGAAAACACCGATTTCGGACTATCCCTTCATAAACTGACGTCACAGGTGACCTACTCAACTCTACTTCACCTGCCCAGTGTCCTGCCAAGTCTCAGACAACATGTTTTTATCGTTTAAAAAACAATTCCAGCCGAGCATGTATCTGACCACACTATCCTTTCATATGCTTAGGACAAAGAAACAGATGAACTCTACTTCACCTGCCCTGTATCTTGCCAAGTTCAGATAGGCAACGTTATCATTCACATCTAAAAAAAAAAAATTGAAAAAAAAAATTTCATTGACATATTGGTCTAGAACCCGTGCCTCCTGCATGAGAGCTGACTACGCTACCATTTTAGCTATTTACTCGTGACGTCACAAGTGAATTTTTATACTATACTATGTGTCTCCTTATGCAACTTGATTTACGCGTATAGATTCTAGATCTAGATCTAAAAATAAGTCTAGTAGTACTAACTTTCAAATTAAATTTTATCTTAAATAAGCCAAACAAAGATTTATATAAAATAATTAAGGCCTGAAATAGATTCTAGATGTAGAATTTACATTGAATCTAGTGACCTACATCTAGGCTAGATCTAGATCTAGGCTAGATTCATAAATTTCCTTCGATAGCTGATCTTTAGATCTAGAGAAATTTATCGTAAAACTAAATGAAAAAGACAGTTGAAAATTGATATAAGTGTTGGAACGTAATAAATACAGCAAACGGACGTATTGTTAAAGTTATGACCGACAGAAAATTAGATTTAGAACGCGTTAAACTTTTGAATGGGAACACAATTTTCTTCAATAGACGCCGCCATTTTATTGTACTAAAGAGTAAACAAAAACCTGTGACGTCACTATTCCCACAAAGTTTAGTCAAGGTTTTAACATTTTAAAAAAAAATGGGTTATTCTGCGTAGGAATAAATCAATAAATTAATTAACGTCTTTAAATAAATTTGTGATCAACAGTCTGTCTGCATTAAAAAATTATTCTCTACCTGCATACCATTTTACAGCTTTCCAGATAGAGTCGAACATATCACAATTTTCGATCAGGCAAACAAACAAATAAATATTCAAACATGTAAACAAACTTGACTTTTAGTAGTATATAGATATATATATATATATATATATATATATATATATATATATATATATATATATATATATATATATATATATATTATATATTAATATGTATATGCAATTTCTATGAGTTATTAAAGAATACGTTTACATCGATGTAAAACCTAGAGAGGAAAACGTAATCCTTCTAAAAATAGAAATTATTTTATGCACTACTTCTCTATTGCATGGACTTTATAAGACGGAGCACACATGCCCAAGCACCAAGTCCGAGTCTTCACCCCCACCCCCACATTTATTTCCACCCATACCCCCTGCCCCACCCAGTGTGTCCTGCTTTTGATCTTGGATTAGTGACCCTGATATTTGGAAATCGATGCGTGTCTTTTATTCCAATCTAAATTTTAAAAAACCGGTTTTGAATCGCCTTTCATAAATGATGTCAAGATGTTGAAGAGGGGTGAGAGTGGTGCACCAAAACGTGACAGTGCATTTAGTTTCTTTAAGTTTAGTTGAATACCTTTAGAAATTCATTATCCGCCCTTTGCCCCAACAAAAATACATTAAAGGGTGATAATTTTCAGGAACACACACAAACTTCTTAACCATGGCAAATGTTAATTGATTTACAATTTTAAGCAGTTTAATTATTCCCTTGAAAGCTTTATTTGATACTCTGGTAAACGGGGCGTGGTGGGAATGAAATTCCTGGAAAGCTAAGTCACGTCATTCACTGCCATGTGCTTTAGGCCTTAACTTCGCTTTTTTAAAAACGTGCATGTAGAACATTAAGGTGTTGGCATGACTTTAAGCACAGGTCAAAGAGGCCAAATTAACCTTCTTGTGCCCCCCCCCCCCCCCCACTCTACCCCCTCCCCCCCCCCCCCCCCCTCCTCCACAACCACTCCTTCCTGTAATTACTGTATATCAATATTTGGATAAATATAAGATTTAATAAAGAACTAAAATTAGTGACTGACATACAAAGCCCACCCCCTGGGAACGCCCATAAGGCAAAAGGATATTGTGTGTAAACAGCTAGCAGAGCATGACTTTTTTAAATTTTCGTAGTCTATTTAAAATAGATCCTTTATAAAGAAATAATATTGCGAAAGATTTTTCTCACAGCGTTGTAACAATCAAGGGCGGTAATCAACACTAGGCCGTCTGCACGTAGCCGACAGACAAATAAACGATAAATGAAAAACAAATAAAGTATTGCTTTTTACGCTTTTTAGTTTCAACCATCTAACAAAATGGTTAAGTAGACAAATAATTTTAAGCGTGGGGGAGGGAAAATTCTAAATTTAACTAACACATAAAAGTATATTGTACACCTTATTGAATACGGTTTCTGTTTTTCTTTAATAAAAATATTCTTTTTAAAATTACGATATCTTATTTTATAATACATTTTAAGACGGAAAAACCAAATAGACACCTGCTGAAATCCATATAAACCAGCCCTGTTTTCAACTAATCTTCCATACGCTTTTATACTCCTCCACCACCTTTGATGGCAAACATGTTACAAACCAGCCTCTTTTCAATTTTTGAACCAACAAGCTTTAAATTCAATGTATCTTTTGTATTCATTTACATATTTCCTTATTTATTTACTATACTCTGTACACCAATGTAACTATCTTGTAAATATCCACCCAAACGGCGTGGAATGTTACTGTATTTGTTTTAAATTGGAAAATAAAAGTATAATAAAAAAAATAAAGAAAATTTAAAAAATAAGGGAACGTTAAAAAAAAAAGAAGAGCCAAAAGTTATAATAATTTTCAAAATTTCCTAGTTTTTAAAGAGCCGCTGATATTTTTTTTTTCAATATTTAATTATTTGATTAGGATTAAGTAAATACATTTAATTTGTTATTTGAAACAGATAGATTTGAATATGAAATAATATTTATTCATATAAAAACATACACATGTTTCGCCAGAAAAATAAAATTAGTAATCAAAAAATAAAAATATAGGACTACACCAATCCACTTTAGAAGCTGTTAATTTTTTTTTAATTTTTTTTTTACGGATAACACTGGCTCAGGAAGTGTCTCCCATTAGCCAGACAGGCCTCAACACGGTAAACTCCGACTAATTGGCTTGGATATCGGTTGGATTACCGTGTATCTGTAACTTCTGTCCTTTGGTTCTCAGCAGGCCAATCTTCTACCCCACAGAGCCCAGTGTAAACTCGCACCCCACCGTCCTATACCCGGCTCAACAGTAGGAAGCTAACAAAAAGCTACGTCACTCACGTCAAATTAATTATTACTGACGGATAGGAAAATGCATTCTAAATTAACATTCCCCAATTAACGATATTCGAAAAAGTCGGCACTTGGGCAGTGGCAAGCATGGAATGGTTGTCACAGGGCTGAGTTTTTTTATCCTGTTTAAACGTGTGTATCTTTACAGTATAATTTTTGTTATGAGTTATGAAATTGAAATAATATAAATATTAATATGTGTGCAAGGTGCTGGAGAGCCGCATCGTGACACCAAAAGAGCCACATACCGACCCCTGTAACATATGATTAAACTCTTTGCATTTCGGTCTTTAAGAACACAGAACACTGCCAAACACGTCTACTTTTTAGGTTAATATTAATATCTCATTTCAATTAATGTTTTTTTTTTTTTTTTTTTTTTTTTTTTTGACTTTTCACTTACCAGAAACAACAGTAAGAAAACAGAAACATAACTGGACTTTTATTGCGTGAAGCTTCATGCTTGCCCCAGGTAGTCAATGTTGCAATCAGTAAACTGAAATTAGTAATTATCATTAAATTAACTGTTCATTAAACTCGTGGCAATTTTGTATGCAGAGTGTATATTGTGCCAAGTGTTGGTACAGTAAAAAAAAATATTCTAAGTTTTCTTATTTCCGCTGAGTAAGCTTGTGAAAGAATGAACTCATACGGTGCTATCATCAAACATAAACAATTAGCGATGGTTTCAATAAAATAGCGTGACGTTTATTTAGCTGATTTCATTCTCGCTTATCGTCACACATTGTGATAAATTGTCAAAAAGTTAATCTTATGGGGTCATCCATAAATGACGTCACACTTTTTTGACGATTTTTACCTCCCCCCTCCCTTCCGTCACACGTCGTCACAAAAAGCCAGACTCAAAATGGAGTATTTTAATCAACTTCTATTACAATTTATTAAAACAGTTTTCTAAAACGCGAAATAATGTTCTAAAATTCGTTTTTTAACATTGCTTTTTTATAGTGCAAAAGTGTGACGTCGCACCATCTGAACCCCCCCCCCCCTCCCCCTCATCACACACCGTCACAAAATTACGGACCCCCCCCCCTCCCCCCTCCCAGTGTGACGTCATTTATGGACGACCCCTATAGTCTAACTGCTCCTAAGTACAATTCTGTTAAAGAGGTTTTAAATAAATAATAAACGATAAATGAAAAACAAATAAAGTGTTGCTTTTTACGCTTACTAGTTTCAAGTATCTAACAAAAGGGTTAACTAATAATTTATATAATTAATTATTTATTATTATTATTATTATTATTATTATTGTTATTGTTGTTGTTGTTGTTGTTGTTGTTGTTGCTATTATTATTATTATTATTATTATATTTTTATCTTCAAAGGTTACAAGACAACCAATGGCGTGGAAGTGAAAGCCCCAAATGCTTATGATAACCTAGATTGACAAACAAATAACGTGCAAATGAAGTATCCAACTATTCTATCATGAGATCAAAATCTATAGTATTGTTTAGGTCTCAATTTATAGTTATTTATGTTTGTATTGTGGATATTGATTAAAATACACATTAATGGTAATTTTTTATGTAGGCCTATGCTTTGATTTTTTTTTAAACGCTGCAAAATATGTAGATTTTTTGCTTATATGCCTACAGCTTATAATTTTTTTTAAAATATCCTTTTTAATTCAATTTTCTGAACAATTTTCGAGTTTCCTAAAAGTGCATGCAGACGAAGTTAACAGACAAGGCATAAAAAAACTGGAGCAAAAATTTGAAGTAAAGGTGGACGGTGGTGATGCAGATTTCGTTAGCTGGTGACCTTATCTTTGGGAAGATATAGACCCAGAGATATTTACTACAGAAGAAAAACCTTACAGCAAATACCATCAACAGATTTATATTTATGTATATTATATGGGCTGTGTTTACCGCCTGTATACATAATGTCTATTTCTATATAAAGCCTACATCCAGTTTGATTTTATTATATTTTTAGATATTACAATTCAGTTATCATTTACTTGACACAGTTATTATATGAATATTATATCTAATTACTTATTTGTAAGAGATTCTCATAAAATTTCACGAGTTTTCATATATTATATTAATGTGTGTGAGCTTTTAAATAACTAATGGTTTCGATATATATATATATATATATGCATATGTGTGTATGTATATATATGTATATATGTGTATATATATATGTGTATATATATATATATATATATATATATATATATATATATATATATATATATATATATATATATATATATATATATATATATATATATATATATTCAGAAATACTTTTTTAAATTCTCAGTTTCTTTATATTTTACATTAATATAATGAGTTGCCCCATTCAAAGGGCCAATATTATGAACAAAATATTTTCCTACCTTTATAAAACGTTTTAATTTTAAAAAACGATCCGATTTCTACTCATCACGTGTGACACCTACGGCCACGCTAGTGAACTCAGATGTCTAACTTATCCACCTAACCATGATATATTGATATAGCCCATTACTTCAGTGAGGCCGCCCTAGTTTTAAAAATAAAACGACACGACTTCCGTCTGCCTTCATCTCATGACTATATTAATAAATCCCCTAAACAGTGTTCTTACGGCGAAAGGGACGTAATTCTTGTAAATTGTGATTTTCTTTATTATCATCCTTGAATCTCTTTATCAACATAAAGTACGCGGGGTGATTTTTAGCGCAATTTCCTTACAGGAATTGCGATTATTAACTCGTCATTTCTGGATGGATGTGTGTCCCCAGCTTTAAGTCGTATCTCCTCCTCAACGAAGCAATATTGAGGACTAGTTCCAAAAGCAAATATGTTAAGCAAGTTCCGAGGATGATTGTGGGCCAAAAAAATTCCCGGAATTCCTTCCTGGATTTCCCGGAAAAGCCTAAAAACCTCGAAAAAATGCAGTTTTTTGCCCATATCTCGGCAACCAGACCACTTAGCGACTTGAAACATTTACCAATCGATTCCTGCCATAATTTAGAACAATATTGCCGAAGAAAGTTTTCAAAAATATCCTTTCGTTCGCTCACAAAAAATTAATTAAGGACATTGCGCTTAAATTGTCACTAGACTTTTTATTAACTTGTTTTGTTTTTATAGTGTTTATCTTTTTGAACTCAATATGAAGAGAGGGGTTTACAGTTTTACGGGTGGATCTTTAAACGTTCTGTTGATAAGCTGTAATGTGTGTTCTCATATCTTATTAGCTCTGATAATCTGCCTATTCACGACTTGTTTGCTAGTAATGTTAGTGGCGTAGGCAGGGGTGTCGCAGGGGCGTCGCTTTAAGTTTACTGTTTTAATATGCTGATTGTCATACAACAACTGTTGTACATTCTAAACCATTTGTATTGTCCGGGCACAAAAACGATTTCACTCCCCATCAGAGGCGTAGTGAGGGGGGTGCGGACCGCACCGGGTGACACCATTTAGGGGGTGACACCAAGGCAAAAAATAGCAAAATATACAGAGAAAAATTTGAAGGGGGGTGCAAATCGAAAGTTTGAGGGGGGGGGTCAAATCGATAATTTGAAAGTTTGTCCCCGGGAAGGGTCGCTTCGGCTCTGGGGGGTGACACCATTAAGTACCGCACCGGGTGACATTTGACCTCGCTACGCCACTGCTTCCCATATAGCCAGGCAAAAACAAGACGCACTTTTTCAAAGACGGCACTTTTTTTTTAAATTATTTTAAAATAGGGTGATAAAAACAAAACAAAAAAAAACATTATACAGAAAAAAATACAGATTAAAAATTTACTTACAATGAACAAAATTACTATTAATTAGGCGGCTGGGCATAGTGCTGACCACATTATCCCTTCATATGCGTAGGTCACAGAAACATGTGAACTCTACTTCACTTGCCCAATAGACCGCAAGCTTTGAAAGGGAATTTTACTATTAATTCCAGAAAAAAAAATCGAGGGCTATTTTAAATAGTAGGGCCTATTTCAATTTTAAACATGTGTTTAAAATGCAAAAAAAAAAAAAATGTCAACGTACTCAATGATACTGCTTTATTATTTTAATATTTCTGGATATCTATATCAGTTATATTATAAATAAAGCCCCGCTCAACAGCAGTGACATTCTAATTTTTTTAATAAATCTGATTATATGACCTGTAATTTAAAAAAAAAAAACCGGGAGTGATCTCCCCTAAACTTTCTCGAATATTCCTATATAAAATAACAGGGGATGGGAACTCGGGCTATAGACATGATTTTTAATCCATTTTAAATACTTAAAGTTTTAAAAATAGAATAAAATCTCGAAGACAAAATAATTGCACACCAAGTGAACGCCAAATAAAAAAAGTGCATAATAGTGCGCAATATTATTAGTACTTTAAAAATTTACATTCGTTTTTTGAGAAATCGGAAGTAGCGTAAATTACTACTTCCGGTCAACGGAAATTACTCAAAATTTAACAGGTAGAGAATTAGATCTTTTACTTACATGTGAAATTTCATTTATCTATCTGAAATAGAACTCAAGTTATAGGCTTTTGAAAAATTCAAAGTAGGAAAAGTACCACTTCCGGTTATCGGAAATCACTCAAAAGTTGATAGTGATCAACGATTTTGATAAAATACTTATATATGAAATTTCATCAACATAGCTGTAACGGTACTCAAGTTATCGTGTTTACACACGGACACACACACACACACACACACACACAGTCACACAGACATACGGACAAGATTGCAAAATTATGTTTTTCCGTATCAGTGAGGTGTAAAACGTCGAGATTTGTAAAAATCTCAATTTTTTTTTTTTTGCACGATTACAAGACTTTCTCTATACTTCGTATATACGAGAAAGTAAAAAACGTTATTTTTCAAATTATCGTAGAAAATTAACCGCTAGTGGTAGAACAAGAAGATAACGTGAGTAAAACGTATGATTTCCTGCTTCCATCGGTATCTTTCAAACCTCATTGCCGGCGAGATTTCCGTTACCCGAATAAATATGTACTAAACATAGGAAGAATTTGAGCGCATTGGACTGTAAAGGGTTAAAATCTCGTTTCAAGCGAGACCTAATCCTGCCCACGCCACTGGTGCTAGTATTGCAACCCATATACCGTAAATAAACACTGCATTCCTGTATAGAGAGGGATAGGCTTCCCAATCCATTTTCGTGTTGATATATGTAGATAAGCTGACTTTTGTCAATTTTGGTTATGTTCAAACAAACATCGGATCTAAATGTTGCATAATATAAGCTAATTGAAATGTAATACTAATATTATTAGGGTAGGCCTCCGTGTTTCACCCAGTGTCAAAGAAAGTAGAATGACATAATATTATTAATATTGAAATATTTGTTTTTTAAAGTGGGTAGTATTAGGTTACTGGTCGCAGACGATTAACTAATATCACATGCTAATACCTAGGCTAAACATATCAATAACCCTAATTTAGGGCAGACATGCCTACCCCTGTCAGCCAAAAGTAGGAACAGTTATGCCTAAAAAGAGGAATTTGAAGCCAAAAAAGAGGAACATACGCGCGGACGCAACTTTACTAAGTCAAAAATAAAAATAATTAAAAATTACTCTAATGAAATTAGTAGGCTTCTAGTCCTATATAACTAGTCTTTAAGATACATTTAAATACAGCTTATATTTAAAAAAAAATTAAATAGATTAACCAGTAACCCCCCCCCCCTCCCCCCCCCCCCCCAAAAAAAAATCATAGCTTTGAAATAACATTATTGATTTGATTATTTATGTCTTGCTTTGTTCTAGGCTATATGAACAAATGCTGAAGGCTTCATCATATGTAATATATAAGTTACGAGCAAAGACCCTTGATCTACCTAGTAAAACTCCTAGTTACTTCTTACTAAGTTCTTCATAATAGTAGTTACTAGTTAAGTTAAACTTACAAGATAGATCAGCATTCACTATTTCAGTATCTACTAGTAGATCTAGTTACAATTCTAGATCTAGTAGTAGTAGATATACTACTAACTAGATCTAGTATTAGATGATACGTGTAAATATTGTAAGTAAACTAGGAAACAGAAACGTGTGCCAAAGGGAGATAATCGCCTTTTCCTGACATTTTTTTCAATTTACTTTATTACCTTTCTTTATTAATTTTTTTTTCAAAAAAATCGGAACCAACTGAGTCAATTTCGGAATGACGGAACAAATTACTTTTTTAGGTGAAAAAGCGGGACGGTTCCGATTTTGGCGGGACGGTAGGCATGTCTGCCAAACCCATAGAATACTCCAGTAAGGGAATTACTTTTAAGGTAGTCCCTACACATTAAGTAAGAACACCTGGGTCTACAATGGCCAGGCCTGTATTAGACATTGATTTATCTAATATCTCCTATAAACCTAACCCAAGGATTCAAGTACTATTACCATCACCTCCTACTGTTGTCATAGTTCTCCTAGTTACAACTTAGCTCCTTTACACCGTGGGTCAAGTCTGTATGACGTCCCTGAGTCCACCCAGCTCTGATGGGTACCTGACTCACATTAGGGAAAGTAATGGCGGTTGGCGGAGTGAGATCACACCCCCCCCCCCCAACAGTCTACTGCTTTCTTTCCCCCCCCCCCCCCCCCGAGAGAAAAGACTGACTGAAAGAGGTGAATTTTATTTCAGCTATGCTAACTAAATGTATATGGTTTATTTAGGTTTAAAATTGAGTAAAAGAGAAGTACTATCACTTTCTACATATTAAAGTTAAGGGAGAGGTTGTATCACTATCCCTACATCAAAATTAAGGGAGAGGTTGTAAGTATCACTATCCCTACATCAAAATTAAGGGAGAGGTTGTAAGTATCACTATCCCTACATCAAAATTAAGGGAGAGGTTGTAAGTATCACTATCCCTACATCAAAATTAAGGGAGAGGTTGTAAGTATCACTGTCCCTACATCAAAATTAAGGGAGAGGTTGTATCACTAACCCTACATCAAAATTAAGGGAGAGGTTGTAAGTATCACTGTCCCTACATCAAAATTAAGGGAGAGGTTGTAAGTATCACTGTCCCTACATCAAAATTAAGGGAGAGGTTGTAAGTAATGTAACTTAAACTATCACTATCCATTATCCCTACATTTATAAGGGAGATTTGTAAGTATCACTACCCCTATGTAGTGTGGGTATGCATTAGTTAAAAAAAAAAACACAACAAAGTGGAGTTAGTATGGATGTTTTAATGGTGAGAGGGGGGGTAGGGAGGAACTAATCATACTCACATTGATGGAATTGCACACTTGTGTTTATAAACAAGAATCAACCAAAAACAAATGAAACCAAAGACACTTCACTAGTGGTGACCAACCTGATATACACAGCAGAAGCCAAGACACTATACCGAAGGTGACCCACCCTTAACACTGATACATGCTGTTGAAACTAAGATAATATACAGATAGCGACCCTTCAATACATTCAGTCAACAAATTATTTGAATAAGTTTAAGTTCTCAATCATCAAGCATTTCATTTTAATAAGCTGTTTTAAATTTATTGTTCAGAATCTAACCTTTCAGGAGCTATTGCACAATCTAAAAATAGCTGGATTCTATTTATATCTCAGATTTTCCTGAAATCTAAATTCAAGATTTTAAATCCAAAAAGTTTTTGTTTTTATTATTTTTTGAACAAATAATAATGTCCTAGGATTCAAACAAAGACTTCTTAAACATTGTACTTACTAGCTTTTCAATGAAAATAACCACACCTGAAAAATAGTTTAACTACAACAAGGCAATGGTTAGTTCCCCCTTCTTAAAATAAAGTTCTACCAAAATTAATACAAATCACGTTATATGTTGTGTCTACAGAGTTAAATGATGACATAATTTATATAAATCCCACCTCGTATTAGTCACATTGATACAGATCTGCATAGAAATCAGCTCAAAAACGTACACCCAAGCTGAACTGATCTTTAAACAGTACAAGGTCACAACTGTATTTTTGATCAACAAAATCAGATTGGCAAAACTTTCACTACAATTTCATTTTCAACTCAAATAACAATTTTGTTAAATTAATTCACAAAAAAAAAGTGAAATCATTTGCCAAACTAAAGTAGTAATATTTCAAAAATATTTTCAAAATATCAACAGAATTAAAGAAACATGTGAGTTTGATTTATGCAAGAAATCTAAAGTACATTTTGTGTTGAACAGTGATCTATACTGAATCTATTTACTAGTTTAGTGCATCAGTCTTAAAAGTTTGTTAATTAACTATACAAAGAAAGTAATCAGGAAAAATGAAACTATTATTAAGTATCTCATATCTACAAAAGAATAAGTAAGATATAGAACCCCCATAATAATAGAAAAAACCATATCAATTTCAAATACTGAGGATTTAACTGTTTTAAAATTAACTGTTTTTAAGTTGAGGCCATTACTTTCTTGAGAAACTGCAAAATGTTAAGCTAAGTAAAGCAGTCTGCAGACAAAACAACCGTTCCCGAAGTTTATAAAAAGTGTTGAGTCAACGCGAATACCATTCTTCCGTTGGTATAATGCAGCTATCACAAAGCAAAGCTGAATCTACCCAGTTGAGAAAAAAAAAGAAGTTCGGGGGTCTTTTTAAAAACTATACAGAACAGCATGATGAAAACAAATTAACTCATGCTTTTAACAAAATATTTTCAGCACTAGAAACTATTGCCTAATTATGAGTCTAGGACAAGAGGTCACAAATTACAACAGCAAACTAGGGGAATTAACTCTGACTAAACTAACTCGGCTACAGCATATATTAGCAGTTTAGTATACTTATAATTTAGAAGTAAAAAGAACATAAAAATATAGTTTGTGAATTTTTTCAATGAAAAAATTTTGAAATTGTCAGCCTTTACAAAAAGATGATTGTGCGGCTCATTGCCAAGATGAAAATATTCTTTCATGTATAATTATGTGCCCAATAAAAAGGTGGATTTTTTTAAAGGTCAGAGAAAATTCAACTAACATTACAAAGTTTGTACCATCAGGTACAAAGAGAATCTACAAATCACAACTGCTTAAAGATTAAAAATTAAAATATAAATAAGCTCTAAAAATGTAAGTTTTTCTTTAAAAAAAAACTTAAGAACTATATTTACACCCAACAATGAAGATGACTCAGCTCATTACAAATGGATTTTTACAGAACCTAAACATAGACATTTATTTTCAAACAGTGCTCACAAAAAAAAAACCTACTATTTAGTATTGTATAAAATACATTATTTTGTTGATGGTTATGTTTCATTTTTTTTTTTTTTTAAGTTTAAGTAAATAAGTTCATAATTTTTAAAGATGACAGTTTGCTCAATAGATAATAAGTGCAAAGCACAAAAGCTTACAGAAATTTCAGTTTAAACTGTAGCTCCTAGTACATCAACCAAAGGGAGATTATCCATGTGGACAGAATACTCTTAAATTCGTCAGGCTAATCATAGACAGCAAAAAATATTGTAATAGATTAGATTTATTAATAAACTTTTTTTTTTAAAAAAAGACCAGATCACCCATAATTTCTTTATAGTAGTAAATATTGTCTAAACCAAAAGCTAGCAAGTAGAAATTGTTCTACTAATACAAAAACCTTATTAATAATGATATATAAAGTCTACTACAATATAGTTGAAGCTGATGTGTTTCTTTAAGTTTCTAATCTGCTTCACAGAACAACAAAACAAAATAATACCAGCATGGCAAGCTCTAAATGGTTTTGTTGCTATGTGCTAAAACCAACATACAATCATCCAGTGTAAATACATAAGCATCACAATATTAAAGATATGAAAAAAAATCATATACAAGTAGACAATAATGCATGTCCCCATTCCCTTAAGCAATTAATACAAAATCATGTTCAAAACTAAGTGGTTAAGTTTTATTTCAATGTGAACTTTATAATCCGTAGTTGCTGGGAGAGTTTACGTGAATGTTTCACGGGTGTCAGTTCGGAACCTGTTAGAGGTTGAGATAATTAAATTTAATTTTTCTTTTCATTTTATTTTTACTGGGAAGGAATTTAAAAAACGAAGCAATCTAAAAGAGGAAGGAATCTAAAAATCTAGAATCAATGTTGCTTTCATGTGTATTTAGCCACAAGAAAAACATGTAAAAAATATTTTGGTAATTTGTACACGAAAAATTTCTTAAACTAAAAATATTTAGTTAACAGTAAAAATCACCATAAAATGTACTAATTTTTACAACAGTTTAAAAATGTGTATTGAAGAGAAGACGAAAATTTAACAAGCCTGTAGTAAATATATAATGATGAAATTGCATGCAGTTTTTTTTATATTTAAGAAATGTTTAACAATGTTCAGCTAATTTGCATTATTATTAGCTCATAAATATTCAATAAGTATTAAAAACAAAATAAAAACAAGTAATATTTTACACAATTTTCATTGTATGTGACAGGATAGTGTCACTAGTGAAAAAGTATAATTACAATAGATTACAAGTTAACATTAAAGGAAACAAATATAATAGCACTGTTGTTCATTAGTAGTAGGGAACCATATTCTAATAAATATAGCAGTAGATGATGCTTAGTCTCAGCAAGGAAACTGAAAGCTTACTATTAAAACTACATTAAAAGGGAAATATATAATTTCCTTCTATTTATACTTTTTAACTACAATTTATATTGACAAAAGATGGGAGCAACAACATCTTAAAAATATATAGGGAGCTTGGATAAAGCTAGGAACCTAAACAACACGAAATAATTATTTATTTTATTTTATTTGTATCCAAGTTCGATAAGAATTAACAGAAAACAAATACTGATCAAAGGCGAAATTAAAAAAAAATTTCTCACAAAAAAGTAAAGCTGATGAAAATCTTGGGTAGAAACATCAGATAATTTATTCTTTCTTTAACCTAGAGTCTGTCACCATATTTAATCAGACTTAATTTTAAATACCTGTATCTCTAACCATAGCATGTTAAGTATAGTTTAGTTAGTTCAATGAACATTCCCTAAATCACACCTGTTTAAAACATGTTATGAAAGTCGATGGAGATCAAATCAGGATAAAAAAGTTCTATGTGGCAGCTCACACTGCCTACAAAGGGAGCTAGGTAATACAATACAAAAAATATACAAACAGAAAAGTGTTGCTAAAACCATGACTGGAGTTGTCAACACCATTATATAACAAACAGCTACATGTTCATGTATTCACAATAAATACTTAGTACAACAATATCATTCAATTAACCATTTTGCAACCAGTTTGATATCACAATTTAGCAATTTTATATTTGATTTTTTTTTAATTCAATACTTCTAGGAACTGTTCAAAAATTTTAAAACATGAATCTTCAGAATATGCTTTTTGTTAGTCAAAATAATATATTAGGCAAGTGTAGGTAGTTAACTCACAGAAAATATACCTCAACTTGGAATGGAAGAATGATGGAATTTATTCACTACAACATTCCATGCAAGAAAAATGCTCTATTTTTTTTAAATTTAAGACATAATAAAACTGACATCTGCATGTCGCAGCAAAGACATTTATATTGTTTTAAACTGAACATTAAACCATTAAATTAATTTAAAAAAGAAAAAGCACATAAAAACATAGTTCTTTATAGGTATACATTAAAAATATAATCTTTGGCTACTTTAATATTATATAAGCTATTAACATAATTTTTTTTTTTAAATTAGAAAAAAATATTTTGACTTTAACAAAACACATTTAATTTATTTTCACTAAATCCAACACATTAAAGTAAAAAAAAATTAATTTCAAGAATTAAAAATACAATTTAAATGCACTTAAAATAAATTGTAATGAAAAAAAGAAAGCATGGCTTAAAAACCAGAGATTATAGTAAGACTGGAATGGTTTTTTTTTAAATTGTAATAGCTAAAATCAAAGTCTGAACGATATATGAATACATTATTTTGTTCATTAAATGGTATCAGCTCTAGATTGCACTACGAAATGTAATATCATTTTTAGCTTACTTTATAAATACCTACTTCTGTTAGGCTAAAGAGGTGCAGACAAAAGAAGGGCTAATAACTTACATTTAGGTGTTATTCATAGATTTTTTTAAGTAGATGGAGTAGAAAGATAGTAGAAAGCTTTATCTATTTACACATACTGAAAATATTTCTGAGTATAAATTCCACTACCGAATTTCATACTTGGAATAATAATTAAATATAAGCTCTTTTTCATTTTAGGATAGTTTAAGTTATTAAGCAAAAGTTAATGAAATATACATTTTTAAGTGCTAGTAATATACAATAACTAGACACCTATAATTTTTTAAAATGTGTGATCTAAACACAAATCATTTTGTGCCTGGGCGGTCAGTGTATGTATCAAAGATACCTAACTCTACAGACAAGATTTATAATACAAAGAGAGAAGAAAGAAAATTGTATTTTACAAGATTTAATATACACTGTAAGTAACTAATGATCTAAAAAAAAAAAATAATAATGATTTCATACAGAGATCAGTTTCTGATTGATTTGTTTTGGAACAAAAATCTTCTACATTCTATTTCATTTACAGGGGATTTCTTGATTATTTAAAGTTGTTTAAAATATTGAATTATAAAGAACTAAGAGTAAAGTAGCAAAATCATAAGTTAAAGCTTAACCAAATACAAAACTCAAAACCTTCATTTAAAAAAATGTCTAAAACTTTGATGACAAAAATGTTTTAACTTCGATAGAGTGATTAATTTTCTAATCATACTCTTTGGGAAAATTTGCAGAATTTAATTTAACAAATTCATAACAGCAAAAAAAACTACAATTGATGAACGTAAAAATTCAGTGAACACTAAAAGGCTCAGAGTAACATCAATCAACTCATAACATAATAAAAGAAAACCCAAAAATGGCAGTACATTGTACAGGAAAAAAACCCATTTTACTCAGGTATCAAAAGTTCTTATTTTTGTATACTAGTGACGTCACCTGACCCTGCCACCGGGGCTGACAAACTGTCATCGGCACCATAGGATGGTAGGTTTGTGGTGTTAAAGTTGGTCTTCTCATCAACGCCATCATCCACTTCTACTTCCTCACCTTTCCCCATACCAAGGGCTATTGGCTGTGAGGTAATGGCATCCTCAGGGGTACTTGGTGAGTTGCTCATTTCCTCCTGAAAAAGAGGTTGCTCTTGTAATCTCTAGGAATATTAAAAGAATTTTTTTGAAGTGTTAGTGTGTGAATTTCAGTTATTTTGAATCAATTGTATTAATTTGAAACAAGTGAAAATTTTAAAACTAAAAGTCACTGGTATTATTGTGAGCTTTCATTTACATTAATTTGTATTCGAAAAATTAACGTTGCAAAATAATGAACGGAAGAATTTTTAAAGTCATTATATATAAAAATGTCTAGATATTTACTTTGATTTTAAAATAAATCACTTTAAATTCTTTTTCTTTACATCATAATTTAATTCAGATTTAACTTTTAATTTCTAAACATTTATTTCATAATCTAAGAAACCAAATCAATGCATAGCAAACTAGATTGAGATTTAGAATGCTCAAAGCAGAAGGGAGTTAAATAGGAACTCTACAAGCATAAGAAATCAGGTTTATATCTGTTAATAATTTGTACTTTAAAAAAAAAAATAATCAGAATTCATTTTTTATCACAAATATTCCACTGTTAGTAAATAAAAGTTTCCATTTTTCCAGAACATTTTATTTGTTATTTAATCCTAAAATGTAAATGGGTATTTAAAATGGCTAAACTACAATAGATTTAGCAGTGAAATATTATGCTAATCTACATACAAAGTAAGAACCCTGTTCTGCTTGTTATTTAAAAAAGACTTAATCCTAGGATTAAACAAGCTTTATTTAAACACCCATCAACATGAAAGTAGTAAGCATTAGAAGAGCAGCATAGGTAGAAGTGAGTGGCGGTTATGGCATTATTATTGCAGCATATCAAGTTCAGTTGTTTTAATGTCTAAAATCAAAGCACACTTTGCGGCATTGTTCTCTAGAACAGAATAAACTAAATGACGTAAACTTGCATTAAATGGGAGATATAAAGCAAAGTTATTATTATTTTGATTACTACAATTATTTTTTCTATATAGCAGATTAATTAGTGAAATAATTAGAATCTACAAATTAACATAAATAATTATAAGGATTTTGAATTTGTAATCAATTTACGTTTTAAAGAAAAATTTATAATAAAAATATTTGTCGAAATAAATATATAAACATTTGAAAACCTTATCTTAATAAATTACAATTGCATTTTATATGGATATAAATATTTCAAGACTTATTTAAGTTTCTGACACATCTTGCCATATAAGTGATTGTAATATGTATATGCAGGCAATATCTTTGAAAAGCGCAAGCAGTTAGTAAATGCAATACTCTTAGCAGCATGATGCTACCAACAGAGGCATAAAGCTACCTATGCATGGAAGCTTCCGATATATTGACGTGCAAAAAATTGCTGTTTCAATTTTTGTATCTAACCTGGCCATCTTTCATCCCATCTTTACTACTCACATGGAGGTTTGCGTAGTCGCCATCTTCTTCCGGTGACTGAGGGCGACACTTGCCACAGCAGAAATTGCAGCACAGGCAACAGCAGCAGCAGCAGTAGCAGCCAGTGATGATGCCACAGAAGATGGCCAGTGCCTGAGTCAAACATGAAGGGTAAAATATATAGCTGATGTTGAGTTAATATATAGATAAAATATATAGCTGATACATAGTCATATACAGCCAGTGATGATGCCACAGAAGATGGCCAGTGCCTGAGTCAAACATGAAGGGTAAAATTTACAGCTGATGTTAAGTCAATATATAGATAAAATATATAGCTGATACACAGTCATATACTGAGGATAAAATATAGGTTGATAACAAAATCATGGATAATCAAATAGAATGCCTAAAACAAAGACAAAATTGATAAATTGTACTGCCAGAGCCTGTTCAAATAAAATAATTCACCAGTTTGTAAACTGATGGAAACACAAAGGCTATAATGTAGTGTCAGTACCTGCTTCCGCTATGGATGATAACATAAACATACTCTATCCCAACAATCACCAAGTCATGAAGAAATCTAAGCACACTTTATTATTATTACATTGAAGTGTCAGCATCATTATTCCAGTAGACACCTTGTTGGAGGGGTGAGGGGAGAACTGCTGATTTATGAAAGCAGATAAAAGATAAATGTTTTTTACCTTACACCACCCACTGGTTAGAACAAGATATGTGTTGACATTTTCTTCCCCAAACTGCTCTGCTGCATAAATTCCCATGGAACCATAGCGATCATAGATACCTCTTTTGGTGCCATCTGAAAGGATCATGTTGGCTCGGTTGATTTCTTTGAACTGAGAAGGTAAAAAAATTGAAATGTTAAACCTAAAATAAAACTATAACCTTATTTACAAGACTGAGTTATTTGTTTACATGATGTGTGAAAACATTGGTTTATAAAGAACCTATTTAGATCAGATAGTCAACACGTCAGATAAAGTAGAGTCCATCAGTTTCACTGATTATGGTGTATGAGAAGATTGTATAGTCAGCAGTGTGTGCAGCTAAATTTACTTTACCTAACTAAAGAGCTGGGTAGAAGCTCTATTCACTCAGGTCTCCTAAAATTCAACTTTAGTAAACATGCGCTATCATCTGTCTATTCTGTCCCATTAAATGTAACAAACAGAGGCAAAGAAAATATGGCTTGCTCCTATACAACACATTATAAGCATGATGACCAGCATAACACAGGTCCTTATCTGGAGCTACCACAGATGGCTTACCACTGAGGACACTTATATAAACTATGCCCAAGTGGAACAGCAGGCTAACTATTAGCTGCTATGTTATCCCATTAAATTAAGACATCGGGGCCAAAAAAGAAAAATTGCTAGAATATACATCAAGAAATTTCTTTGTCTAAAATAGCATCAAATAGTAGTAATTTCATTACAACTCTAGTACAGTGTATATTGTGTTGGTCAAAAGCGACACTACATATTTACTAACCCTCTATAAAACATTAAAGCGACATGTGTTGCAGTATATCTAAGTCTGATAAAACTTTATTCCAAATGCTCTTTCTGGCTGTGTCAAAGATTTAGCTAGCAACTGGCATTAGTTGAGTGGTTGGCCTCTCCTGCCGTTACATGCAAAGACCAATGCTGTGAGCAAGGAATATTTCCAGACAGTAAACAGTTTACCTTGTCAGCTGCATCAGGGTTGTCTCTGTTTTTGTCTGGGTGAAACTTGAGTGCCAGCTGTAAGAGAACACAAAATTTGTATAATGTATTCACTATATATTTATTTATTTATTCAAATGAGCCCCGACCTGCTGCGTAGCATACGCCTCTATTTAGTTATTTTCTACTTTTCAGTAATTTCATCATTTGTGAATTGGACACTACCCTCCATTCCCCCCCCCCCCCCCCCCCCGTGAAAGCACTAATTTGCCTTGGCTCTATGATTGTAAACATTTGGCGTGAACCACAGCTCACCAGACTGGAAAGCTATGGAGGGGGCCGGGGGGTAGTTAGATAGTCAGCTTGCGTCATGGTGCCCATGAAAAAATATATAATCTAAAAATTGTTCAATTTTTAGAAAATTTGTATAAGTAGTCTCTGTGATGTAATTTATTAACTTCTATTAACTAGGCATGCTGTCGTAGATGTAATAATAATACCTTTCTGTATGCCTTCTTGATTTCATCACTGGTGGCTCCTTTCTTTAGGCCCAATAACTCATATAAAGAATTCCCTGAGCGACTGGAAAAAATAAAGCAAATTAGTTTACTGTTAATTATTTAGGAAATGATGCAGATACAATTTCCCAACACCAATTAATCAGAAGTTAATTTTTCTTTACAATCTAAGTAGTTGAATGTTTGAAGACAAGGCAATTAAAATCAGTCTCGAGAATATAAACTTACTTCTAAAAGTACTTATCGCAACTATTATAAAATTACGTTTGAATAATTATAAACTTACAAATACAATTATTATTGCTTGTGACACAATCAAACACACACAAAATACCAGTACTTAAAGCAAAAAATAACAACATTATAATTACACCACAGTTTGAGACAAAAATATTAAATGGACAAAAAAAAAGCTGGCACCTTTAATCTTTTTAAAGTTAAAACAACCAGTTATACTGTGTGCACAAATAATGATAGTTGAGAATGCTTCATTCTGATGATAATTATCTTTTATATGGTAGATATCTTTTTTTAAGTCATCATTTGCTTAAATTTGTCTTTAGTGATTTACTATTATTCTCTATGAACAGAACAACTCTAAGTATTTTATCTGATCTGAGTTACCTTAGTTCTCTTTCTCTCTCTTTTTTTTTAAATCTGCTGTTAGTCATGCTCTCAGTGCTGAATACATGATCAAATGGCTTAGACTGAGTCAGCATGGTGTCATGGTGTTTAGAGATCTTCGGATTTTTAACCCCCAATTATATTTTAACATTGAGCTGGGACTGATTTCATCTTTCAAAACATACACTTATCAGATGACTGCTTAACAAAACAAAATAAAGCTCTGGTTTATCAATCACAAATTAATGGATCAAATAGTAAATAACTACATTTGTAAACCTAAATTAAAAGGGTTTTCTAAGACTTCGTTTATCAATACATTACATTTATTTAGTAATTAAAAGTTAATCTGAGTAGAGCTATCTTTTAGTTAAAAATCTATTTTAAACTGACTTTAAATTAAAAGTTATCAAGCTGCAGTGATTTCTTAAACAATAACAATTTAAAGCTAATTATCCATGGATAATTTATTGTTAGTTTAAAATTTTACAATTTAGGGCTAACAAAAACTATTATAAATTGGAGGGCTTAAAATTTTATTCTTAATACTTATCTATAAGCAATAAACAGTAAAGCAAAATTTTAATTTTAAAGACAATAATTCTCAAATTTTTAAAAATTATTGCACGACAATGGAAAAGAAAACATTTTCATCTGTAATTTTAAAAAGGCAAATTTTAAAAATCTAGTCTGAACAGCTCAACATACAGTAACTTACCATTTCTTATATTGAGAACAATCTATACAAAGATATACTGTATTAACATGAACAGTTTTTCCATTTTTAATTAACCAGAGACTAGTTTGTATGTACAAGTGTGTACGGTAACCAACCAAATCTTTAGCAAAACAACATTTCATGTCTATGCATGTAACTGATTTTATATACATAAACAATTTTTAAAAACCCAACTTTAAGGGTTTTTAATTACTTAATTAATAATGAATTACTGTATACATAGCAAAAACACTGCAAAACAGCTTATTTGTCCAATTTTCTTGACAGCGGCATTGGTCTAGCAAATAACAGGGATAAACATGGTTTTAAAACTACCTTTAGCTTAGCCTCTGTTGCTGACATTATTTCCTGAGACTAATTTCATAAGGTATGGCTACAACAAAAGATTCACTAGCGCATGTAAAAAAATTTGCATGTCAAGGTCAAATACTCCTTGTAAGATGATTTTTTAACTTATTTTAATCCAATAATTGATATTCATTATATTTTATACATTTTAATGATAAAATCATCTGCTTCTGAGACCTTGGCATATGAAGGGTTAATCTGGTCAGCACTATGCCCAGCCGCCATTTTTCCCAAACATGAGTTACCCATCAGAGCTGTGTGTGCTCAGAGACATTCTATTGACTTAAACCCGGATTCAAACTAAAGACTTTCCGGTTAGCAGTCTAAATCTCTACCACCAGGCGATGTCGTCCCATAATGATAAAATCAACTCATGTTATTGATACCAGAAAATGGTGTAGGTTTTGACACATTTTACAGGGAAGGTGATTATTGATCATTGTCATGAAATAACTGATTAACACAAAAAAGACACAAATCATATAACTAACAGAGAAGAATAAATATTAAATCAATACAAAAATTGTAAATTACATTGAATCTTCCAGTTAAGTTCATTAAATTGAATGTGTGACATATTAAATAAAGGCAGGCATGATAGAGATTCTCCACAAATCATAAGATCAACTGTTATGATTGCTGCATGTTATCAATAGACCAGGCATCTAGTAACGAGAATATTAGTTTTATTTTGGATTTGTATGGTATTGTAATCAATTTGCATAAAGTATTTATATTTTTATAATTAGATTGTGCTTTATAGTATTTTGTAATAGGTATAATACTAAAAGTAAACCAGGGCTCAATGGGTGATAGTAACTAAACCACTTTTTTTCAACTTAGTTATAAAAGCTTTTTCTACTTTTAATACTACACTACATTTTACTGACTGTTTATAAATGTTGCTTGTCATTATATTTGGTGACTAAATATAACAGTTTCATTGTGGTGTTGGATTACTTCAATTAGGGCCTATAGTATTTAAAATAGCATATGGTGTGCATGGCAGCCTTTTTTCCCTCAGACATTCTTCTCAGGGGGGGGGAGGGGGATAATTAAAGTTCTAATGGACACTAGATGAAGTAGTATATATTTTGTATATAAAGAAGAGATGCCTGAAAGAATCTCTGATGGCAACACTAAGTTCACTTTGTTGGGCATGTACTCAGCATTTTTTTTTAAACTAGATACGTTGATTGTCACTGTCAACCCTGCTTCATAAGCTTTCATAAGCTAAACCCACACACAAATGACAAGGTCACATAGCCCTAAAACTAAAAGTAACACTAACACTATTGTGAGAGGCAGTCTCATGGAATATCTACATGTTTATAAAGTTTTATATAGTGGTATATGATATATCATGTTATAGCAACAAGGAAGTTCAAGTAGTCTGGAAAAAGCACACTGCAAGCACTATTACTATACTATTAGTATTATAGTGATGTACCAATCCCCTTAATTTGACACTGATTTTCTAATTTTAATTTTATATAATAATTTTGCTTGCATATTTCAATTAAGTTACCGCCATTGGTAAGCATCATCAAAGGGCAGTTTTATCATTTAAATTTAATCTTTAAAAATAACTAAAAATACTGTAGTGTTTTCATTACGTTTTTCAACGGTTTTTGTGTTGCGGTTGTGTCAAACAGGGTCCATAGCCAGATCCCAAAAGAAAATTCAAGGCTTTTTCAAGGTTTTCAAGGTGATTTTGGGGGGAATTTCAAGGTATAAACTACCACTAACGGGCATTACAATGAGGGTGATGTATGTTTTTTGCACACACAATTTTTAAAATAATGTTGGTGTTATTACAAAATTATCTAATTCAGGAGATTGCAAAAGGGATTATGCTGGACTTTCAGACAATCAGTATCTTTGGTGTCAAATGACACTCCTCCAACTTCTATTTTCAGAAAAACCTCTTTCAACACTGGCTTGACCATGTGACAGAAGCAATAGATGTCTAACAATTTTCCAAATGTTCACATAAGAAATTTTGCTACCAAGCTGTTCTATGAAAAAAATGTCCAGCCTATAATGTTCTCAATTAGATTTAAATAGACAACCATTTAGAGTACATGTATCTATGAATGTTGAAAATTGAAACAGAACTTGGTCACACTCAGCTGATTTCAGTTTCCATTTGTTGACTAGGATGTGAAGAATTCCCTTCATTTTTTTTGGTGAACTGGCTCTATTTTTAAACATTTGCATTAGGCTAAGTCTCTCACTAATGACTAAAGTAATGGAGATTTTAAAAAAAAATTTGATGAAAATCCTATCAAAGTTGTCTTACAATCAGATTTGAAATTGAGAATTTGAAGCTCACTTGCTTTTTTTATTTTTTCTAGAGACTTTATTAGAGAGTCAGCAACAAACCCAACTTCAATTGAATGACTTGTCAATGTCAAGTGATAATCAGAATCAGGTCATTATACATAAAAGGAAGCATTGGTTCGTCTGTCTGATAGTCCTTTAAAAAGGACTCTGGACACGTATAGAAACAAAAAAAAACCTAGCTATGCTTGTAGAAATTATCCTGCATAATGTCATAAATGACCTCACGCTTTTTAAAAGATTATTACCTCTCCCCCCCCCCTCCGTCACACATCACAAAAAGCCAGGCCCCGCCCTCTAAAATGACGTCACACCTCAGCCTATAACCCCTCCCACCCCCCCCCCCCCCCTTGATTGCAGTTCAATTTTTCTTAAAATAGGATTTTTTTTCCAAAATCTTGTCTGAACTCTGTCAAAATAGAGTATTTTAATCAATTCCTTTTACAATTTATTAAAACAGTTTTCTAAAATGCTAAAATTCGTTTTCTAACATTGCTTTTTAATAATGCAAAAGTGTGATGTCACACGATCTGAACCCCCCCTCCCCCATCCCCTCATCACACACCGTCACACGATTACGGATCCCTCTCCCCCTACGAGTGTGGCGTCATTTATGGACGACCCCCAATGTCCCCACCTATGATATACATGATGACGTAAAGAAATATCGTGGAAGTTTTAAGTTAGTTCATATCGCGGAATATCAGAATTAAGTTGTTTTTTTAAACAATTTCACAAGTAACTGCGCTAGTAATACTCATGTCAGAGATGTAGCCGCCCGACAAAGTAAAAAGCGGATTTTTTTTACAAGCGGATGGGAGGGGGCAGTGACAGCGGCAATTTTCTCAAACACGGTAATTCGAGGCTTCTTAAACATTTCAAGGACGTTTTACCACAGTAAAAATCAATTAGATCTAGACCCTGCTAGATGGTGTAACTAAATTATAGCAGACCTACATATTTTGTTCAATGACCTAAAACGATGCAGATCTAGTTTTTGTTTTCGCTTAAATCTAGCAGTAAGCCCAATGTTAAAGATAACCACGTTAAAATTAGATAAACAGCGTTTGTAGAACTGCCTTGACCGCGAGACACAACTGTTCTCGCGCCTGGTCTCGTGTCGTAGGTCTTACGGTCAGCGCGACCTTGAAGTGAGAGGTGGTAAAAAAAGTGTCCGTAAAGTTAAGTGAAAACAGCACAGTCATAGTCCTTCAAATTATTTTTCTTTTCTTTTGATAAATACAAATTTTTTTTTACGTCGGCGCAAAATCTTTCCTTTTTTTAAAAAGACAATCGGCGATGCTAATGAGCTGGTAATGTTAGGATTTAGTTTTTTTTTAATTACACAGCCTAGCGGTAGCCCATTGATGGCGTCACGTTATTAATGCGAATTTTACACCAACCTCTATCGTCATAAATAACCAGACAGCCACGTCAAGAATGACATAAAAAAGTTCTGTCTACAGCCTCACCCATCTGATACAGTCAATGTATATTTGGTCCATAGCGCACGTGAGATTGACGATTACATCATTTGCTATTGGTTTTTTTAACGAACGTGATAAATATGTCTATTGGCATTAGGAAATCTTGTTGGTTAATAGTTAAAATCTAGATCTAGATCCACGACTATATTAATTATTAATATACTGCGAGGTCACTGTAAGTTGAGATAGACCTAGAAGACCTTCTAAGGTCGCAGTGACCGAAACATCTGCTATCGTGGGGTACACAAAGAACCGTGATTGATCTAGGTTCGTAAAAACATGTCTTCTCGCACATCTAAAACAACAGAACACAATAACTCGATAAATTATGTCTCGCTATTTACCCGTAATTCCGCAGCTACGTTTCGCCCTTTTGTGTTTAACAAACACCGAGAAAATTTTAATTTAAATAAATAGAAACCTACGCTCGCATAGTTCAGGCTATTCTTTTTTTATTTAAACCTAAGGCTTATTTTCTTGAAGAAAAAATATTAGTTCTGGATGTAGGTTTAATTATAATCGAGATAATTTCCATGCGCGACCAGAAATTTAATGATTTAGGCCACATTCCAATTTTTTTCTTTACAGACATCACCGATCAGGAGACAACAGACCACTCGCGGGGTCAATAAAGTTCACAATATAAATAGAGCCAACGACTGCCGAGATATTGTCGGGAAGGGATTTGGGGGGGGGGGGGGGGGTCGATTATGATTGAAGATGTTTGAAACCATAGAACCGGATAACACGGAAATTTAACACAAGAAAAAAAAAAGGTCGACACTAAATTGATTTTGATGTTTACTGTGGGCTTTAGCGTAACATTTGCGGCCTAATTCCGCAACAGGGGTGTCAAAATTGAAAAATTACGGACAAATCCGTACAAGTAGGTAGGCCCTAACAGAAAACAATGAATCTAGATCTAAATTTAGCCCTCGGCTATCGTTTATGTCACGATCTAGAATCTATGTTAGGAAGAGGCTATGCAAAACTGGTCAGTTTGAGGTCATACCGCGAGGCTCAGCGAAGGAGAGGGTTGGAAATAGTAGACTCCGAAGTTAACGCAGACCCACGTCAAAAAAAAAACAGAAAAAATTTAGATCCATCAGAATTGAATTTTTTTTTTTAAATTCGATTTACGCACGGTTTTCAAGGTTTATCTATAAAATTCAAGGGGTTTTGCTCATTTTTGGGGAAATTCAAGGGTTTTTCAAGGCCTTGAGATGTTTTTTTGGAATTCAAGGGTTTTTCAAGGATTCAAGGTCCGCTACGGACCCTGTGTTTATAATAAAATACGCACAACTGGGGCTGGGGGTGAACGTGAAGTGGGAATAAAATACACTAAAATGGAGTATTAGGGCCTACCAAAATTCTCCCTGAATTTTTCTCATTATTACGAACAAGAACTTCAATCATTGTTCTTTTGTTCAGTTCAAAGATAAAGATTCAGAATCTACTCACTACTGTCTACTGACTACTCAGTTTCAGTTCAGTCACCTGTCATCACTCATTCAGTTAGTTATTCAGTTGGTCTCTCTCGAAAAATTAAAAACAAAAAAAAAAGTAGGCTACTTTTTTATCTACTTACGAATAAGTACGATGTCTGCTAGCCATTTTTTAATTTTAAAATGACAGGAAAGTATTTCAAAAGCTAGCTTTTTTACAATGATTTTAGATCTATATCTTATTTATAATAAATCAAAGGAATCTTCATCATCCTTCGATTATTAATTCTATACAATGTACTTTAGCATCCGCCATTTTGGTAGATTTTAGGTTTCGCTTAAAATGAACATTTATTAAAATACCGAAAAATATCTGATAGAGTATAATCAAGATCTAGAAAATAAATCTAGATCTTTTTTTCTAGGTCTAAATAGTTACACCTGTATGCCTACATAAATAATTAAAAAGTTAAGTACGATTATATATTTCCATCAAACTTAGTTAGGCTATGTACTAGATCTAGATAACAAGACTTATATAACAACATTATTATTTTTTTGCCCAAAGCCCCCCCCCCCCCCACATACACACACACTAAGTATGAAAAGTCAGACTCCTTAAAGTAACGTCACACTGTTACTGTAGCATATCCCCTCCCCTATTCCCATTTTTATCTACTTTAAAAAAAATTTAAGACATCGCACTACTCTCCCCCCCCCCAGTGTCACACACTGTCACAAAAAGTCCGAAGCCTGCCCCCCCCCCCCCACACACACCCACACACCACCACCACCACACAAGTGTGACGTCATTTATAGACTTGCTCCTGGAAGAGAAGAAAGGAGAAGAGATGACATTCTAAACATCTGTGACTAAGAGCCAATGTGTGTATTACGAAGTCATTATTAACTAGCTAATTTCGTGTTTTAAAATGTAATATAGGCTCCAACTGCCAATAAAGATCTCTCCAGTTATATTACAATGAAGCCGCTACCAGAGTAATAAAAATGACATCATACCGTCACCACATCGGATACAGAGTTTCTTCCAGGCATCTCAAATTTTTACCCCCCCCCCCCCCCCCTTCCCCGAACGAAATGAAATTTATATAATTTATATAGAAAATATATACTTTTAACAGTGTCATCTCCCCCGAAGAAAGTTTACCGCCCCCCCCCCCCCACCCCCCGAAAATTTCAAGTGCCCCCCCCCCCCCCCCCGGAGAAAAAAGTCTGGAAGAAACACTGATCGGATAAGGCCAGGGTGTACGAAAAACGTTTTCAATTTTAAGCTCATCTTACATTGGTCTAGCTCACCGCCACTTTGTGAACTGGTAAAGATGTCATCATCATCATCATCATCATTCCTTTGTGGCCCCTGGGGAGCAAAGGGCTGCAACCACACATCTCCAGCGGACTCGGTTTTGGGCTGCTCCTCTAATCCAGTGTTTTTTCCAGACTTTTTTCTCCGGGGGGGGGGGGGGGGGGGCACTTGAAATCTTCAAGGGGGGGCGGTAAACTTTCTTCGGGGGGGGGGGGGCGGACACTGTTAAAAGTATATATTTTCTATATAAATTATATAAATTTCATTTCGTTCGGGGGGGGGGGGGCGGTAAAAAAATTTCGGGGGGGGGGGGGGGGCTAAGCCCCCCCCCCCCCCCCCCCCGAAGAGATGCCTGGAAGAAACTCTGCTCTAATCTGTGCCCATGAGAGCCCAGCTGTTTTCGCCTCTTCCTCAACCGTTCTCTTCCATGTTTTCCTTGACCGGCCCACACTCCTTTTCCCCTGGGGATTCCAGTCTAATGCATGTTTTGCGATGTTTTCTTTACTTAACGTGTGTCCGATCCATCCCTATTTACGGGCCTTGATATATTTCTCTATTGGCTGTTGCTTTAAAATTTGCCACAGGTCTTTGTTTGATACTTTGTCCGGCCATCTTATTTTGAGTATATGTCGTAGGCATTTGTTTACGAACGCCTGTAGCCTATCAGTATTTGTCTTCGTAACCTTCCAGGTCTCCGAGCCATATAGTAGCACTGCCTTAACATTTGTGTTGAAAATCCCAATTTTGCTCCGGAGTGACAGGGCCGTGGACCTCCACATCGGGCGCAGTGAGTTGAAGGCACATCTAGCCTTGTTGATACGGCATTTTATGTCCTCGTCTGCTCCCCCGTCCTTATTGATCACGCTTCCCAGATATGTGAATGTGTTTCTCGTAAATCTTCTCCATTTAGCTGTATCGGCAGGTCCTGGCTGTTATTGATTCTGATGATCTCTGTTTTGTTTTTATTGATTTTTTTAGTCCAATTTTGGAGGCTTCTTCAGACAGCCGATTTAGTTTGGCTTGTGTGTGTTGATGCTGATGAGATAGTAGGCAGATGAAATCGGCACAATCAAGATCCTCCAACCTTTTTGTGAAACTCCACTGGATTCCTGTGTCGTTTTTGTGGCCCTCAGCATGATCCAGTCGATTACCATCAAGAATATCATTGGCGATAGCAAACATCCCTGTCTTACTCCCGTCGTCACCGTGAATGGTTTTGTTTAAAGATGTGCTGGTGTAGAAAATTTTCGCATAGTAACCTGTGTGTTTAAAGATGTAATCATTTTGTCCTGTTTAGTCTTAAACCTGCCTGTTTGTCAAATGAGCTTTTCAGCTTCTGTTTACAAGCTATAACAAGACGTTGTGGTCTATCCCACGGGTCGGCAACCTGCGGCTCGCGAGCCGCATGCGGCTCTTTTGTGGCAGTGTTTCTTCCAGACTTTTTTCTCCGGGGGGGGGGGGCACTTGAAATTTTCGGGGGGGGGCGGTAAATTTTCTTCGGGGGAGGGGGGGCGGACATTGTTAAAAGTATATATTTTCTATATAAATTATATAAATTTCATTTCGTTCGGGGGGGGGGGGGGGGGGGGCGGTAAAAAAATTTCGGGGGGGGGGGGGGGGGGGGGCGAAGAGATGCCTGGAAGAAACTCTGTTTTGTGGCCAAGGTGCGGCTCTTCAGCTCCATGCACAAATATTAATAATTATTTTATTTTATTTTAAAACTCATAAAATTATTGGTCTGCAACACTCGGTAATGAACCAGATAATAATAAATTTAAACAATAAACACTCGCTATTCTATTAGAACTAGCCGTCGGTACCCGTTTCACGTGAATTATAGGCCTATATATTTTAAAATGTACTTGTTTAAGAAAATAATTTATAAATAGTTATTGGTCAAAATGCAATGTGCTTTACTACACGCTGAACGATATTAGTGACAAAGCAAAGAAATAACTAACTAGCTAAAAATCCGACACATTTAACATAGTCATAACACAGGAACACACTGATTAAGTTGCGCTATCGACGATGTGCCGGCGGCTGCGCCTGTTGCAGTTTTGCCGCTGAATATAGTAGTATCTATATTCCCACTATGTAGGAGTCCCGATTAAAGGATGCCAAGTGCTAACATATCCGTTCTGGAACAATGGGCGCCAAACCGTGTATCCCAGGCACTACCCATAAAAATTTTTTTTTCAGAAACCTCTCCTGGAGTGTTCTCATCAACTCCACAAAGTTTCATGACGATCGGATAAAAAGTGTCAATCCGCAATCAACTTTAATTGTCATAAAACGAATCGCTCCCTGCCGGGGCGCCACCCCTGCGAATTTGATTTTTTTTTTACAGATCACTCGCCAGAAGTATTCTCAACAACTTTCTAATATATATATATATATATATATATATATATATATATATATATATATATATATATATATATATATATATATATATATATATATATATACATATATATATATATATATATATATATATATATATATATATATATATTATACCTATACCTATACCTTATCCTATTCAAAGATCGTAATAGTAATATTGAAATTAAAATGTTAGTGGCTCTTTATAAGGTGGGGAATTTTGTAAATTGTGACTTTTGGCTCTTCTGTCTCAAAAGGTTGCCGACCCCTGTTCTATACGACACAGCAATGTTGCAACTTGATAGATATGTATTATATGGGTTGGTTTTTTTTGTTTATACAAATAAGGGAAACAACTAAAATTATGTTATCAAATTGACAAAAAATACCAATACCCCAGTGGAAATATAATAATTATGTAAATCCTTGTTGATTTTTATTTCTTTTCTATAAGTATTAATAAAATTTATGTACTAATTTTGTCTGTCTTTAAAAGTTTATTGATATTAATAGAAAAAATACCCCTAATTAAATTACGAAAATTGTAATTATGTAAGATAACTTCGCTTTAATAAAATGAATTCCTGATTTGTAAACACTACCCAAATGTCGCAGTTTAAATTCTCTCAATATCTATACAAGATTTCTTGTGTTAACCCAGGGGTCGACAACCTGCGGCTCGCGAGCCGCATGCGGCTCTTTTGATACCAAATGCGGCTCTCCAGCTCCTTGAACAAATACTAATAATCTTAATAAAAAATAAAATATTTTAAATAAAAAAAAAATGTTAGTGGCTCTTTAAATCCTGGGAAATTTTGAAAATTGTAACTTTTGGCTCTTCCGCTTCAAAAGGTTGCCGAACCCTGTGTTAACCAAATCACTCGCACGCATTGGTCGGCAACCTGCGGCTCGCGAGTTGCATGCGGTTATTTTGATGTCAATATGCGGCTCTCTAGTTCTATCATAATTATATTCTTTTATTATAGAAAGTAAAAAAAATTATACTGTAAGAACAATAACTTTAAACGAAATTAAAAAAACAATGAGAATATGTGGAGTAGAGTGTATATGGACAGTTGACAGTCTAGGGCATTAAGCCCAGCCCCACAACTATGCTGTGGCCAGATCTGTGGCAATGGTTCCAAGCTTTCCACTACCGAAGTGCACATACACATGTTAGTGGCTCTTTAAAGTCTGGGAAATTTTGTAGATGTAACTTTTGGCTCTTCAGTTTCAATAGGTTGCCGACCCCTGGTCTAGCCGAAAGTCTCGAGTTCGGCTCCTGGGCTTGAGAATGTAGGTCGTCCCTTGACCGAACTGCCCTGATGTCCAAACCAGGTGGCGCAATACACTGGATAAGTGCTCTATTCTTAACCGTGCTCCAGTCTGCCAGGCTTATGAGCAATAGCTTTTGCATATGAGAGATAGCGCGCAGGATTGGGTTATATAGGCTATATCTGCTAGGGTGCAGGGGCGTAGTGAAGGGGGCGGGGGCGGGGGCGGGGGGGACATATGTCCCCGGGCGCCGACCTCAGAAGGCGCCAAAATGGGTTGGAAAAATAAGGGGGGGGTGCAAATCGAAAGTTTGAAGGGGGGGGGGGTGCAAATCGAAAGTTTGTCCCCGGGCGCCGTGAAAGGTCGCTACGCCTCTGCTAGGGTGGGATGACTATACTATCTCCTTCCCTAGGCTTATCTCAATAAACTGTCCGGCCAGTGCAAGTCCGGCTAAATCCAGACTGATTAAAACGAATTTTAGTTTGCTTTAAAATTAATATGTGTGATGTTTCTTGCAACGTCATGTTGAGTATCACTTGCTTTGTGTCTGCCTTAGCGGGGTGTGTTAACTTTATTGTTATCTATGTGGATGTTGTGTACGTAGACTAATGGCTTCGGGCTGCTCCTTGTGTAGGATAAAAATGACTGATGCCAGCGGTCACTCGGCTTTACATACGCTACGCCAACCCGAAAAGGGGAAACCCAGAACATAAAAAAGGGGAGTGGTTTTGTGCCCTGCAACTCAGAAGATGTTACATATACCCTCAGAGCTGGGAGGACTAGTTAAGGATCGTCCTACCCGGGATCCAAACTAACAAGAGCTTTTACAAGTATTAAGTATCTCTTCGGAGGTACTGCCCTACCCCCATCTCAGAGGTGTAGCGACCCTTCCCGGCGCCCGGGGACAAACTTTCAATTTGGCGCCCCCCTCGGGAGCAAATTTTCGATTTGCACCCCCACCCCCACCCCCCCCCCCCAACAAAAAACGCAGCTAAAATGACATTTTAATTTGTTTTTACAACCCATTTGGCGCCCTCTAGGGCCGGCGCCCGGGGACATATGTACCCCCTGCCGCCCCCCCCCCCCCATCGCTACGCCTCTGCCCCATCTCCCAAAGCACATCTACTGCCCCCGTTACAGAACGAAATAGACTTTATATATAAAATATCGATCTAGACTTTTACCAATGTCCCCTCGCACAGAAAATGTAGTTCGCCTGAAATCTAGGTTTCAGCACTTCTATTAAGTATTAAGAGTAAAGAGTTTAGACTAAGGGGTCATCCATAAATGACATATTAAATGACGTAACGCTTTTTTGGCGATTTTTACCCCCCCCCCCCTCCGTCACACATCGTCACAAATAGCCAGACCCCCCCCCCCCCCTAAAATGACGGCACACTTCAGCCTACAACCCCCCTCAAAATTGCAGTTGAATTTTTTTAAAAACATCTAAATTTTTCCAAAATCTTGTCTGAACTCTGTCAAAATAGTCTTATTTTAATCAATTCCTATTACAATTTATTAAAACAGTTTTTAGAATGACTTAGATTTTAGATAGATCTAGTTCGCGGTAACTAGAATACGGCTTTATTTTTTTTTATTTTTTCATTTAGGGCTTAGGGGGCCTAGATCTAGATTTTTCTAGATCTATAAAGTATAAACTAGTATTGTATATATAGATCTAGATCTAGATTCTAGATCTAGTTAAGTACGGAATAGTTAGGTCCTAGTCCAGAGGGGTAAAACACCATGTACCGTGTAATTATAGTGTAATAGTACTAAAAGTAAGCTATCAACCGACAACTAAGTAACTTTACTAACAACCACTGTTGTTGTTCCTTGATTTGATCACAGTCACAGACAAACAGAGGTAGAATCTAGATCTAGATCTAGATCTATACCCAAACAGAAGATTCAATCATTCATCATCTTGACTTAGATATCTGGATCTAGATTTCTAGATCTAATTCAGTAATTCTAAATCAATATCTTTTTAATCTAGATCTAGATTTCTAGATCTAGATCTAGTCTAGATCTATGATGAAGTTAGTCAGAAAAGTAGAAAGTACTAAGTAGAAACCAGAAAAAAGAGGTGTTGTTGTTAAAAGTTAATGTTATGCCGGCCTGTTGTCTAGCTACACCTATCCTATGCCTCTATTATTAGTAATAATTATTAGATCTAGTAATATTAGAAGATCTAGATTTCTTGATTGAATTGTTGATTTGCTTACTTATTAAGTTATTACTTACTAAAAAACTTACTATTGCTAGAGTATTAGATCTAGTAGTATCTGCACTATGTGGATGTGATGTCTGATGCGAAACAAAAAGCAATAGGTAGGCCTACTCATTATTTAAAATTAATTATTAAATTATAGATCTAGATCTAGTGTTATTTTATTTTTTATTACAAAGTGCAATTGTAGCGAACTATGACGAATAAGCTAGTCTTCAAATTCTAATCATATTTCCTTATTTTTAGCCGACCAATCATATTATTTTTTGGTAATCTATTGTTTTAGGTGCATAAAATCGTCCGAGACTAGTAATGTGCGAAAAAGTTACCTCATTGTCAAGGCTTTAATAGAAGTATATTGTGATTTATTTGTGTCAAATATAGATAAATGAATAATAAACCTAAATCAATGGCTAACTATATCAATATAGATAAGAAATTAACTTTAAACAGCAGTGATTGCGAGCAGGATTTGCTATATAAAAAGCGGCCATCTGTAAGTTTGGCTTCCCCTGAATTTTGCGCTGTAAGTTAACAATAAAAAATATAAACAAGATGGCTGCCATAGTAAATGAGCATGGTTGCATTTGTTGGAAACATCACTAGTCTTCATTTATTACTCAAAAGTTTTAATTCAATTGTTTAAAAACAGGTGCATAAATGAAACAAGGAAACATTTTTGTATTTTTCAAAACATAAATCCTCTTCAAAATGTAAAATAATGATTAAAATTTAAGGAGTCACCTGTTTTTCAAATTACTAGTCGCGGGCGATTTTACGTACCTAAAATGATAATTACCTATTTTTAATATTTATCATCCTTACTCCTGGGGTGCTTTCCGGGGAAAAAAAATTTGCAGGGGCGGTGCCCTGGCAGGGTACTAATTGGCGTTCCAGGCTTTCCCGTAAGTCACTATGGCACCCATGTTTGCTATAAACAGTTTGATAGACTATGGATAAGATTGGGTATTATAGTCATTCACTAAATTGAATTAGACACATTCTTGGGCACCCCGCCAAGGTGTGATTTGGTGCCTAGGCACCTAAGTTTGTATTAAAGAGTGAGATACACTAAGGATATAGTGGGCCACAATTAATCGATTACTAAATCAAATCAGACGAGTCTGCCTGCACCAGGGTGGGATGCGATTTAGCGTCCCAGGCTATGCCATGAGCACTATGTGGCACGGAGTGGTCTAGCGGTAGAGAGCTGGACTGCTAACCCGTAAGTCTCGAGTTCGAATCCGGGTTCAAGTCAGTAGACCGTCCCTGAGTCCAACCAACTCTAAGGGTACCTAACTCACGTTAGGGAAAGTAAAGGCGGCTGGGCATAGTGCTGACCACACTATCTCTTCACATGCCGAGCTCACAGAAACAAGTGAACTCTACTTCACTTGCCCTATAGACCGTCAGGTTTGAAAGGGAAATTTATTTTTACTTTACTATGTGACTATGGCGCCCATGTTTGTTTAAAAGAGCACCCTTTAATATTGACAGAGTAGTAGCACACAATATTCAATGATTTAACTGAGCCAGTGACCATACTCGCTACGTCCCTGACGCCTGGGCAGTTGCCAAAATGTGTTGTACCTCGCGAATACGTAGAGTGATTAGTGTACACTCAAGGCATGCTAGTATTACATAAATAGTGAAATTACAGAATCACAAAAAAAATTGCTTCACTCTGATTAGCCAGTGTATGAATTGCCCTAGAACAGGGGTCGGCAACCTGCGGCTCGCGAGCTGCATGCGGCTCTTTTGAGGTCAAGTGGCGGCTCTCGAGTTCCATGCACAAATATTAGAAATTATTATTTGATTTTCAAAACCCATAACAAATTATATACTGTAAAGAAACACAACTTTAAACATAATAAAAACTCTAATCAGCGAACAATGAGAATAGGTGGGAGTAGAGAGTTTTCGGGCAGCTGACAGCAGCTTGGGCACCAAGTTCAGCCCCACAGCCGACTTTTTCGAATATTGTTAAATGGAGAATGTTATTTTATTCAGAATGCATTTACCTATCTGTCAGTAATAATTAATTTGACCTGAGTGACGTAGTTTTTTAGTTATTAGCTTCCTACGGCTGAGCCGGGTACTGGACGGTGGGGTACGAGTTTCCCTAAGCTCTGTGGGGTGGAAGATCAGCCCGGTGAGAACCAAAAGACATAAGTGACCCAGACACGGTAATCAAACCGATATCCAAACCAGTTAGTCGGCGTTTGCCGTGTTGAGGCCTGCCTCCTGAGCCGGTAATGTCAGTTAAGAAAAAAAAAAGTTAAGAGCTTCTAAAGTGGATTTGGATAGTCCTATAGTTTTTTTTTAATTTGATAACTAAGTATATCATAGCAGAGCTAGCTAAAATAATTTAATATGTTTTGTGCGAAAGATTTGTATGTTTTTATATGAATAAATATTATTTCACATTTAAAGCTACTTATTTTAAATACAAAAAATTAAACTTATTTTCCAAATCCTAATCAAATACCAGGTATTGAAATAAAAATGTTAGTGGCTCTTTAAAAATGGAAAATTTTGTAAATTGTAACTTTTGGCTCTTTCGTCTCAAAAGGTTGCCGACCCCTGCGCTAGAAGGCTATTGGTAGTGAACAAACTACTAATAGCCTAAGCCTTTTATTAATAGTTTAATAGCCTCCTTTTTTATTTCACCCAGAGTCTAATTCTCAAAAGAGTTTTAACAGATTTAACTTTTTACTTTATCCTATGAATAGACCTGTTACTTAGTCTAGATCTAGAATCTATTTAATTTTTTTCTGGTCAGAAAGTTTACCAGTCTATGACCATAAAATCAAAATGACATAGGTCTAGACTCTATTTAATAAATTATTTTAGTTTCAGTTGAAGATTCGGAAGATGATTTAGGGACTGTATTCGTAGTAATTAGAATTCCAGGTATCATTCCCAAAAAAGGTTACCCCAAACTGGCTGAAAATGGAAGTGCTAGTTTAGAAATCATTGACAAGTAAGCACATTAATAATTTTAAAAACTAAACAGACATGTAGGGCTACAGATCAGTTATAAATTTAACTGTTTTTTTTTCTTCTTACATCATTAACAATAAGTCACTAACTTTTGAATATTTATTTCATAACTATAGTTCTTGTTCACAATATTGATAGCATGATCAAGTGGTAGAGCATATAGTTCTTAATTACTTGCAAGTTTTTAGGTCATTTCCTGGGCTCAAGTTTATTGAACTTCCCAAGTTTGATGAGTACCTGATTCAGAAAAAGTAAAGATGGATGGGCATACTTCTAAATGTCTCTATCCTTTTAGATCAAAGAAACAAATTAACTCTGCTTCCTTTCATATCAATTATTAAGAATGAAAGTGTACTTATCCTCTTTTTAAACATAAATATTTATTAATGAAATTGTTTAAAGGTATAAATCAGCTTGATAGGTGACTGAAAAGAGAGTAACACATTAATTATAGGATGATATCGTAAAAAAAAAAAGCATTTAATAAAATGTAATGTTAATAAATTTTCCAATCATTTTAGTGGGAACAAACTAGAGATGACTGCTTCTGTTAATTCAAAAATCAAAGGCAAAGAGCCTCTTAGTTACTGGCTTACAGTGAATAAATTGCCATCACAGGTTCAAATAAACAAGTGTGTCTGGGAGGTATAAAAAAATTTTAAATTGTACATTTTAAATTAGTATTTGGTTACAAGGCTTCAATGCACTAAAAATAACTTTCAATAATAAAAGTGTTTGTCGCAAAAATGTTTAGATCTATCTCAGATGTCTTTTGTGATTGAATTAGATGCCTGACTCAGAATCTTGATGAAAACATTTTTTTATTCATTATCTATTTTAAAGTTAAATTTAAAAGATATTGCATTTTGGATGAATTTTTCTTTCTTTTTTTTTAAAGATTCAGAACAATGGGATTTTAGCGACTTTGGTCAAGGTACACAAAAACATTTCTTGGAATGCTGTTCTAGCCAGTACTGGTAAATTTGATCAGGAGCTACGATGAGGTCCTCGAGAAGAAAAGGAATACTAATTCAAAAGGGTCTGTGATTGGAATAACTCTCATAGACCCAGTTTAAGGGAGCTACACAGAAATCTGTTTGAGAGATTTGGCTGCTGCCATAATACATACCCCACTATATAAGAATGACAGTTCATTTTCTACTTAACTTTAGTCCACTCAGCTCATATGGATGTGATGGCCAAGGTAACTTAGTATTTACACTTGAAGTATGTATGGCATGATTTTCTAGAAAGCAAATCATACACAAGGCCCAAACCACAAACTTATTTTTGCATGGACCCACCCCCATTTCACACCCTTGTATAACAAAATTTTTGTAAAAACAGACATGGCAAGGTATTTATGATTTTATGTGCTGCCACTTCTTAAATAATTAAAACTATTGGCAATTAAAGTGAAAGAAAGTTTTGAGGTTGGCAGGCAATTCTTGTACTAACTTTGCAGCTGATGTATAAGAAACACTCATTTCAATTTATGTATTATAGTTTATTAAGAGAGTTATCCTGAAAAATAATATCAACTTGCTGAAATATTGCTTCCCAAATGAGGTCCTGTATATTTTAAGACTTAAAATCTCAGTATTTCTGGTGTATTTCTGGTTCCATGTAAAGACTCAAAATTTTAGTTTTTTTGTTCAGCTTTAAAAGATGCAGTATTTGGTTTTTCAATTGGTATTGGTAGATGGGTTTTCAAATAAATCTTAAATCCCATGAAATGTACTTTGCTTTGAATCCAAGGTCCTGAATTTTCTAATACAGGCATCAGAAATTATTAATTAAAGTGCTGACTAACATTAATATTTTTTTAAAAAACTTTTTTCAGTTACCAAAGTCAGAACAACAATGGAAAATAATTACAAACATAAATTTATGACGCTGTGTAATTTCCATCACTTCAATGGAGAGTTGGATGGAAAAACAACATGGATATTATTAAGCCACCAAAAGTGGAAGCACACTAAATGCCTTTGTGAAATCAGAGTATGACTTTTAGTAAGCCAATGCAGAAGCATGGAAGTATTTCTTAAATATTCAACAACACACTAAGCTCTGAACACTTAAGCCTCACATTAATGTTAGCTTTTGTATGCCAAATCAAAAAGCACTCCTTGTGTTATTGTGGTGCTGATGCATTTGCTCTACATACAAACTTTATGAAACCTTAGCAAAGTACAAGGTATAGTATTATCAAGGCAAAGACATAGGAAAACATCACTTTAGCAGAACACAAAATACTTTTGATATTCCTATCCATCTTCAGTTTTCGCAGTGCTTTAAAATCTATTTTACCAAATGTCAAAGAATCAAATATTTTAACATTCATAGACAGCTTTCATTAGGCAAGCATTAAGGTGAAACCTACAAGGAAGGTGCCAAATAGAAATAAAAAAAACACCTGTGTTGCGACCTTCAGGCTGACACTACACATGGTTACACCTGAAGTCAAATTGAGAAGATGGCATGAACCAGAGGATCCAGGAGATCTTTGGTTCACAGCCCATGTCCTAGGTCATCACAGTGTTTTAGTCATTATTTTGCTAAGGGAAGTGGACAGAGAGTTTCAGACTTTTGATATTTATTCTACAAATATTGAATTACCTTAATAATCATGTTATTATTTCATTTTGACTGTTATATATGTACTGATTTCTCTGACATAATACAGAAAAAATAAATAGGTTTATAAATTCAAAAAATAAATATAGTTTTATTTACTACAGTGCATATACATTTTTTAAAATTAATTTATTTACAAACTTTGTTGGTTTATGTAATATTTTTTATTAGCACTGATAGGCTCTGTACATATTTTAGCAATTTTGTGCATATAGTTTAATTTGCTGAAGTTTCTTTACTGATTCTGCAGATATGTGTTTAGCTCAAATTAATGAAAAAATCAAAATACATTTATATGGTTAACTTACATAATATACATTGTTCCAGATGCATATCTTAATTAATTAAACTTGCACAAAATTGATTAAAATGATATAATTGTTAGCTCTTGACTCCTGATGCCATAAAATTTCCTTTTTAGCTGAGCATAAAATATTCACCCATATGTATTTGTAAAGGTACATATTATTTTCATGTACTGTTGCCTGTTTTTATTGTTTTTAAAAACATGCTATAACACTCACCCTTGTATTATAAATGACAGTTTAATTAAAACTGTTTACATTCCATTGTTTACTATTATGGTTATAGTACACAGTGTATTTATTGATTATAGGTTTTTTAAAAATGTTGTTTAAAAAAGCCTTTTTTGCTTCATAGTTTATGATTATAAAATTGTTGATTGTGCTACTTATTAAAAAAGCATTCATTTTGTTTTCATATTTTTTAGTTTTAGCTATTTCCAACATATAATTTGACTATCAATAAGTAAACTAAGATGTAGTTTTATTAGATTTGGGGTTTCCTGCTACAAGTTCCAGCATTAGCTGTCTGTGTTGACTCAAAAGCTAATGTTCACAAAGACTAGAAGGTTGTACACAGGTGAAGCTTTAGTCAACTACACTACCCAATAAAAAAATAGATCTGAGACTTTTTCTTTATGAACATTGGCCACGGGGGGGGGGGGGGGGGGAAGGATTAGTGCCTCCCTTAAATTGACCCAGCCACCTTAATCACAAGGTATCAAATCATAGCCCCATCAGTATGATTGCGGTTTCCATTCCAAAAAGGGATATAACCTCATTTGGTAGATTGGGCCAACTGATTCCTTTAGAGGAAAATAACATACAGCTAGGCCATACTGTATTGTCTGCTAGATAATTTGATATTGCCTAAGTAAAGCGAAACTGCTCAATTAATATAAATTGCAATCTGAGGGTGCTGAAGTGTTACCTATTCATATGAGTGTGATGTGCATCATGTAAGATTTACCTGCAGGATTTGGCCCCACACAATTTACGTAGGAGAAAAACCATACAAATAAGTGTGAAAGTTGTGATAAAAACTTTGCTGGTAAAGAGATGTTCAGTATTAGACTACACGAATAATTTCATATAGGAGAGAAACCACATAGCTGTAATACTTGCCATAAAATTTGACACATTATTAAAAAGGCCACATACTACGGAGGACAATCTGCTTCATAAAAATGTTTGTCATAATCATACTTGATGTAAACATAACTACTCGTCTAGATAAAAATCAAAATGAGTGTCAAGTGTGTCTTGCAACAATTTTGTGCTTTTATTACTTTTAAACAAATCTTCCTTAATTCAGTCACAATTTGATAGGCAATGTTTTACATCATTTTCACATTGAGGTAATTTAAAGCAACATAGAAATAAACATTATGCAGAGAGGCAATATGTATGTGAAATGTGTTATAAAAATTCTGTCAACATGATTTTGATCCAACATACAAAAATACATTCAGGAGTAGATACCATGACTGTGAAATGTCATAAAACATTTTTTGGGAAGCATAATTTAGTAGAACATTAAAACTTTCGTACGGGAGAGATATCTTATGATAAGTACACCAGCAACGGTTCAGGTATGGATAAACACAAAAGCTGCTTGGTAGTTGTATGTCTTTATTTCCACAAGTGTTTGGTAGCTGAATATATTAGTATATGTCTTATATTTCCACTAGTGACAAACAAGCACACCACTTGTGTTGACTTGTGATCAACATTCCCGGGGCTGCACACCAGGTTTTAGGCGGGCATTGCTAGAGTCTGTAAATTTAATATCCGTTGGTGGCATCTGTCCAGGTCACAACAAGTATAGGCATAGGAGAGAGGACACATTTTAAAAAACCATTATACTATTATATTTGATGTCAGATAATTATTTAAATAATCTTAAGAAAACAAATCTAATTTGATTTAATACATGAGATCAATTAAATTAATATTTTTGTTTGGTATTACTTTGATAATGTTTAACTAGCACTTTAGAGACAAATGAAAGCTACTCGACTTGCCCCTCTACTTTTTTTTATTCATGAAGAGTGAAGGCAAGTGTCTGTTGTGTACAGAAAACAAATGACATGAAACATTCGTAAGGATTTAACTTAAACCAATATTGAGATTGTGGGATTTGAGGATGGCCAACAGCTCTACTGCTGGTTTCAACATATGCGATATAAATTACTTTGATCCTTCTCAGTTTCTGGAATGCCCAGAGGAAGCTTTGAGTACCAATACAAATTGCTTTACCCTCATTTCAAAAGAATAAATAAACATGAGAAAATTTAAGTTAAAGAGTTCATCTCACAGAAAAGTATAGATTTGCCAAGATTGCATTTGTAACACTCATCAGTCATGATAATGTAATAATGTCATACTTTGTGCTGTCGCTAGTTTAAGAAAGAAAATGTAATTATATCCACTTTTAACATTGCTGAGTAAATTTTGTGTTTGCATATTTTTATAAATATTTATCATTTTACAAAAAAAAATTTTTTTTTTTAAAATTGATTATGTAGTTATATAGGTAAAAATTATTTATTAATTGTTATCTATGTTGTTTAGTTCAATGCAGTAGAAATAAAAAATTCATTTAGCTATTACTAGTTTAATTTGATCTAAATATTTTTAGAAAAAAAAATGATTTAACATTTCATTTTTCAACATTAAAAAATAAGGAATCATTATGGATCTTACTTAATTCTTACTTTTAATTCAGTTTGGTCTTTGGTCTCCCAGTCTCTTCATAGTTTCTATCTAGTATCTAATACAAAAAGCATTAGCCAGGATGCAAATCTTGCATCTGTGAATAAAATTAAACATAGTGCCTATGCCACATGATTAAAAAAAAACACTCCTGGTGTAAGTGTAAGGCTAACAAAAAATACAGGCACTCCATGAGAAAATTACAATTGAAAAAAAAATGGAATGTAGGCTAATTTAGCTAATTTTAACAAAATTTCAGTACATGTTTACAACAATTGGAAAACTAGGCTACTTTGTTGTAACCTAGTTGAACTATTTACAGCTTGTGGTGTAGGAGGATCAAGTGCCATGTGATCAACTGTTCTGACAAACTGGTCAAGACGACCTGTACTTAGCATTACATCATGCCAAGACAACTCGACATCTTCCTTCCTCAGCATAACTACAACTCCATTTTTTAATGCCTAGAACAATAAAAAGGTTTAAATAATACAAGAGCACACTTCAGAAAATTAATTACTGACCTTTTCAAGTAGTAAACAGGTCTGCTATACAGTGCCATCAGCATGTATATTTGATCACACTAGATACTTCTAAGGTTAAGACAAGTAAAATAATTTCAAAACTCAGCATCAGACCTATGATTTGTTTCTGTAGCTTTTAATAATATTTTTTTCTTTCAATAATTCAAGTTTCAAAACTAAGATTACTTGAGAAAATAATGTTTAATTTTTATAAAAACAATTACCGTCCAATTGAAGTCATGTCCTGTTTTCACTTTTGAAGGCAATTGGTTGATGCTGTGATGGTATGAGTGTGTTTGGTTTTTAACCGTTACTGTACCATACAGACGTATTTTTAATCCACTGAAAAATATATTTTTTTAAATACTGTAATATAGGCTTTGTAATTATTTCTCATGAAGATGTTAGAAGTTGCCGTAGTTTATTTTTAAACTCCCAAAATGTTAACAACAGCTTGTGCGTCTACAGGCGACGAAGTGTCCTTGAAAATGTAGTAATCTATAATAAGTGAGGTGGTTTCTGAAAAATTTATAATATTATATGGGGTAAAGAAAGTGGGTAAGAATGTCATATTTTTACAAGCTTTTATTTAACTTGCTTCCTCTGTCTATTGTCAGTCTGTATGTCAACAGTCTATCTATCGTCATAGATTGAAACAGGCGAGTGAAATTGTGGGTTCTTCTAACTGACAGATTTGTTTCAAAGTTGGCATGGGGGTCAAGACTTGAAGACAATGCAATATGACATTAAATTTGACTAAATTGGATGACTAACTAATTTTTAGGAATTAATTAAAGTTTCCTGAAGTTAGTAGGTTGTCTTGTACTAGTACTTCTCTTTCCCCACTATTATAACCATGTGAACATGTTCATTCTGTGTGCAATAGTTTTTAATCATGCAACTCTATTGTATTAAAACTTTAAAGTACTGAAAAAATGCATTAAAACCGTTTTAATTACAAGCTTTTATGTAAAAATGCACTATAAAGGAGAAAATAAATTTTAAATATATTATAATTAGGCCTACTATTTAAAAAACTATAAAGAAAAGTGTGGGTCATTTCATAAATATTAGTAAAAGTATCCAATTCGCTTTTCTTTATTGTTATTTAAAGCGTAGAGTATTATATTATATTTTTAAAAAATCATTTATTTTCTCCATTTTAGTGCATTATTACATAAAAGCTTGTGAATTAACCATTTTTTAATGCATTTTTAAAAATGTTTATATAATATGAGTTTGAGCCCTAATTGGTATTTGAAGTCTAAATCCAAAGAAGTTGAATAATGTCGCAAGACCAAATGTATAAAAAGATTTCTAAAGGATGATATCAATTATCATAAAGGAATCTTGACAAAGTAACTACTACTACTAATACTGATACAATCTTCATTATGTACCTGACAAGCAACTAGCAGCAGTGATGTGATGCCTCTAGTTTCTTCATGCTTTGTACAAAAATGCGGTAATATTTTCACTACAGAAAATCTTATTTACAATAGTTATTGTAAAATTTAGCTCATTACTACACTTACTGCTGTAGAGAGATTGGTTGAATGGAGAAGACATAACAGCTATTTTCAGAATTAGCATGTCTATTTTGGTTCTTACCATTCGGAAAGTGTGACATTGACTTCCCCATTTTTCACAGTATTTTCCTTTTTATTTAACTTCAGTCCTGGTAAGCGATAACACAACTCCACAATTCCCGACTCATCATTTTTGTCCAACACTGATACAGCTGTAAAATGAAGCAGTTATAATTTTATAAATTTACAAACAGTAAACCAACAAATAATTAACAATGCTAACAAAACATTTTTCAAGTGAATACAAAAATAAATATACACATGAATGCCTAAAAAGTGTTTGTAAAGTATTTTGAAAATAATAAAATAGCTAACCGTGTGGAAAAAAAAAAAGCTAAAGCAATGTCATGCTTTTAAAAAAAAAAATTTCCCCCTACTACGGATTGTCACAAAAAGGAAGACCCCAAACCCTGCTGAAAGGGCATTCAGCCGACAACCCCCTTCATAATTGCAGTTTTTGTTTTAAAACATTTTTTACTAGATCAAGATTATTTACTGAGCTCTGTCGGTTAGGTATACTATAATAATCAATTTCTATTACATTACAATTTACAAAAACTATCTTTTAAAATGCAAAATAACTAATACTAATACAATTCTGTTTCTAACATTACTTTTTAAAAAACCAAAAGTACTGTCACATCATCATACAATCACAATTCGGAACTCCCTTATTAGTTTGCTGTTGTTTATGGATGATCCCTAGAAATCTAAATATTATTTAACATTTCCATAATTGCATTTAGAATTTAGTGCCATTTAGTGCATCTAGTGATAAAGCATACTACTTAGGTCTAGAAGTACTTAGGTTTTAAAAGCAATAATAAAAGTGTGAAAAAAATGTGGTTATCAACCAATACCAGTTTTCTTATATAAGGACACCATTTGAGGCATTTGTCATTCTCATTACAATGAACTCTAGAGATGGCATGGACAATTTATACTTTATACAGCTTTGGATATTAAAAATATTTGTTTTTCTTTTCTCTAAACTAGATCTAGATCTAGATTCTAGATCTAAAACCAAAACCAAAATCACCCCCTTAATTAAATTTAACCGGAAACGAAAAAAGACATTGAAAACGGATTTGTATCCAGAATCGTCATTTTTATCGCATTTAAGCTTGATCTACACGTAGTTATCGCGCATTTATACTAAATATACTAAATATATTTAATATAGTCGTAGCCATACCTCTAAACCAGGGGTCTCCAAACTACGGCCCGCGGGCCGAATGCGGCCCGCGAAGTCCTCTCATCCGGCCCGCCGAGATCTTTTTGTCCAAGGAAAAATCGTTTGTTGGTGATGGCTGAGGAACTTTGCCCAGAAAAATCAAAGACATGCTTGGAAGAAACTGGCCCCCGAACTGAAATTTGATAGTTAATGCGGCCCTCGGACTGAAAAGTTTGGAGACCCCTGCTCTAAACTCTAAACCATGCACCTAATCTCAATCATGACAAATTCGCATTTAGAGTTTCTTTCAGGCAACTACTTGGGAGGAAGGGGCTCCGCACAGCCCTCCCCCCCCCCCACACACACACCGAAGCACCTCTACCGTCCCATTCAACTATATATAATTATATACTTTTTCCAGTCCGTCCCCTTACAGGAAATTCCACCACTCCCCCGAAAATTTCAAGCACCCCCACCCCTCTCCGGAGAGGAAAAAGTCTGAAAGAAACACTGGTAGCGTTTGTTGCATTCTACCGGGGGCGGGAGGGGGGGGGGGGTGGGGCTTTGCCCCTACCAGAAGAGAAACTCTACACGCAAACCACTTAGATTAGACAAAATTGCCTTTTTATTCAATGTTTACCCGAGAATCAATGACGTCATATTACTGTGTGCACTATCCGGCTTGCTCTATGCTAAATGTGACGACGTCATACTTCGTTTTTCGAAATACTATGCATGTTTTTAATTTGCTTGTGTTTTCTCTAGAGCGTTCTTGTCAGATAGATACACAGATAGATAGATAGATAGATAGATACACAGACAGCGAAACTATTATTATAGACGAGAAAAATGGCCCGTTGAGGAAGGATACAACGGGCGCTAGGCTGATAGTGCTGTCTCTTTTCTCTAAACTAAACCCCCCCCCCCCCACCCCCCCCCCCCAAAAAAAAACATGTCTACCGTCCCATTCAACGAAATATAATTATATACTTTTTCCAGTGTCCGCCCCCTCCCCGAAAATTCTACCCCCGCCCCCGAAAATTTCAAGTACCCCCACCCCTCTACGGGGAGGAAAAAGTCTGAAAGAAACACTGGTGTCGCGCTTAGCCACTACCCGAAGAATTGCAATAAAGAAATTGCAAGAAAACCACTTTTTAAATTAGACACATTAAATAGGCGGTAATTTTATTATAGAGTATCGATGAGGAAATTTCTTTTGAGTTGGGGAGGGGGGGGGGGGGGCTCAGACGTTCTTACGCGGGAGTAGGGCTTCGCCCCTACCCGAAGAATTGTATGAAAGAAACTCTTCACGCAAACCACTTAGATTAGACGAAATTGCCTTTTTATTCAATGTTTACTCGAGAATCAATGACGTCATATTACTGTGTGCACTCTCCGGCTTGATATTTTCTACTATATGACGTCATACTTAGTTTTCGTTTCACTGTGAAGGTTTTTAATTTGCTTGTGTTTTCTCTAGAGCGTTCTTGTCAGATACATAGATACATAGATACACAGATACACAGACAGCGAAACTATTATAGAGTGGAAAAGTCTATGTAATCATACTAAATTTTTTAAAAATTATTTTAAAAAATATGGCAAGCGATAAAATTATAGCTACAATTTTAAAAATTAAAGTCGATTAGGAACCATCGATTACACTCATTTTCATATTTTTGTGTTGAACATAAGCCGTTGAAAATGATTTTGAATTATTGTATAAATTTAAATATTTAATAAAACCGCCCTCAACCCCACCTTGAACTGAACTGAAGTGGCCAGGGAGAGTAAAACGATAAATGTCATAATATTTATTGTCCATGATAAATACGAACAAGGTTATCCAAGAAAACAAAATGGCGAACTAGGGAATATTTTCAGTTCGATTCAGGCTTTCAAAATTCGTTTGTATCCCTTTTCATTATAGTTGGCTTATTTTTTTATGACTGTTATGCTCAGATTACTAATATCTAACATTATTCTTATTAATTATTACCAATGCTTTGTAGAATGTTTTTAACGCACGTTTCATTATTTTTGTTAGTCCTGTGTTCAGTGTTGTGACTACTAACTGTGACTGTGAGTTCTGTGAGTGCTCTAGAGTCTAGAGTCTAAGCTAGAGATCTAGCTATAAGTTTCTAGATCTAATCTAGATCTAGATTATCTAGACTAGATATTTTTATAGAGAATCTAGATCTAGTACTAGAATCTAGATCTAGATCTAGATGGAGTACACTAGAGATCTATTATCTAGATCTAGACTAGAAGCTAGCTAGATTCTAGATCTAGACCTAGATACTAGATAGATCTAGATCTAGTATTAGAATCTAGATCTAGATCTAGACTATATACTATACTATATAGACATCTAGATCTAGTCTAGTAGTAGATCTAGTATGTTACGGCTTTTTAATATGTTTAATTATTTAGGCCTAATAAATATAAAAATACTAGGCCTATATCTAGATCTATTCTATTTAATTTATAAACTTAATACTACTCAATAATACTAACTATAGATCTAGATCTTATAGTTAGTTAAAGTTAAGTAACTTAAGTAACGTTATATTGTAGGACAGTAGATTTCTAGATCTATTAAGTAAGTCAAGTAGTAGAGATCTACTCTAGTCTAGAAGTTATATAATAAATATATATTAATATATTTTATAAAAATCTATATTAAATAATTCAATTTCAATAAGTAGATCGAGGTCTATATTCTAATAGAATTTCTTCCAGACATTTTTCTCCGGGGGGGGGCACTTGAAATCTTCGGGGGGGGGGGGCGGTAAACTTTCTTCGGGGGGGCGGACACTGTTAAAAGTATATATTTTCTATATAAATTTCATTTCGTTCGGGGGGGGCGGTAAAAATGCCTGGAAGAAACTCTGATATTCTATAATGATTGTACGAATAAATAGTAGTAAATATATTTACTATCGTAGTAGTATTAGTAAGTATAGTTACTCTATACAGTTACTAGGTATATAAATATTATAATACTTACAACCTCATAATTGCAAAATCATGACATTAGTGAATAAATTATTTAGTAGGCCAATAATTTCTATATTAATTTAATTTTAATAGTTAATACTTACTAAATTACTAGATCTTACAAAATACATTTTATTTAGAATAATATAGGCTATGGTACAATTACATTGTTATTATGATAAGGGCCTAGTTAGAGGTAATTACTAATTAGACTTATGATGACTTATGTTAGTCTAATAACTAATAGATTCATATTTAATAGCAGTAGGTCTATAGGCTTAAAATAGTATTGTAAAAAAATAAAGTATGCTTAATTTTTACAGTTGTCATATTACTTTTAGTTTCAGTAAGCCTATCTAGACTGTAGATTTAGATGTAGTAGCTTAGTAGTAGTCTAGTAGGCCTGTGATAGCGTAGGTAGTTAGTATTAGTATGTAAGTTAAACAAAGTTAACTAGGCTTAATAAGGCTACAATTTTAAACTGTCAAAATTACATGTAGCCTAAATAAAAGGTTACAGACTAGTACATTAAATAATATCCAAAATTTAAGTTTAATCTAGATTAGTAGTCTAACAGTAATTTTAGGCCTCTAATAATAATAGTAAAAATTACTGAATAGAAGAGTAGGTTTACTAGTAAAGAGCTTATTTTAGTTCTACTTAATTAACTTAATATATGACTTAGTCTACTCTTAGTCTTATGTAGTGATCTTTAGAACTTAAAACGCAGAATAGTTGATAAAGCCGAAAGATGGATTAACTTACTAATAAAATAAATATAATTATCCTAATATTTATTCTAGTATGAATTAATGATAGTTATAGTAGCCTAGTTTGAATATCAATTTTCAACTAATTCCTGAGGTGGCTAAACATAAGTAGTAGATCTTTATTGATACCTTTTTTTTAAATAATAAATACATGACTTTTGGACTCTTTTGAAGGCTTATTGTATTTAATGACAAACACCTTACATTAAAATATTAAAAGTAAATTATTAGACCTATATTTTTAATGAATGGTAATGGTTAGATAGCCCATACAATCCAATACATAAATACGCATCATTGCTTTATAATCTTTATAAGACAGGCAAATATTTTTATTTATAACATTAAGAGTTGAAAGTATGTAAACATAATGAGTTTAATATAACAGTTTATGAAATTTATTTTTGTTTTTTTAGATACTGTGGATTATACAACTGCATACAGAGAAGACAAAAGTCAAGATGAAGCTCAATTTAAAAACTGATCCAAGGATACATGTTGGACCCAAGAAAACTTGTTCATATTGAACAACTATTTTTTATTATGTTAGTTCTGAATGAATATGGCAATTAAAAAAAGAAAATCATAAACTTCGTTATGTTTATTTTTTTTTCAGCACTGGTTGTGTGTGCTGGTGTAAGCGGAAACTATATTATTGCTACCTTAATTCAATAATTAACTTAAACTGGCGAACTATAGTTTTTAAGAATATGGTGCTGAAGTAGATTTCACCTAGTTTTGTTGCCTCTCCATATTAATAAATTGTATGGTCAGCAAAATGTCAAACAGCTTTTACTAAGTTGTACTGTCTATAACCAGTCAGGTACCAGTTAAAGCTGCTTTGAATTTGAATCAGAGACAACCTAAAGGATTAAAATTTCAACTCAAGAACTTTTGCTTTAGCAAATGTGTTCACAAATATGTAGTCCCAAAGTCTTACATTTGCATATATCTATCATAGATGTTAAACATAATGTTAAGGGAAGAATCAAGAATATGGGTTTTTGTCAATTCTAGCCATACCA